CCAATCAGAGCTCGGCCTCTCTCTGACGTCACCACAACCCCCCCAAAAGAAGCAGACAAACTTTCGCTCCGCATAGGAAACACGCCTCACAGCGTCAGCAAACTGCCCTTGTGTGATATAAAAGCAGTGGGGCCCCGCGGCTTTAGTAGGTCGTTTCGATAACCCCGATGACACACTCACTGACGCCTTTTTCGCGTGCATCGTATCGTTGTCGGTATCGTTATCGGAGTTATCGCAATGATCTACTAAAACTCCCTAATCGTTGCGGATTGGCCATATGCAAAAATCTTACCAGCTATCATCATCATGCCAATCAGAGCCCGCCTACTGTTTTTTTCCCCATCTTCCAGCTGTGGACAAGGCGCATCTGTATTTACCTTTGTTTTGATTATATTAGGACAACGTATTTGTGCACTTAGTGGGTCGGTAGCCTGTTTGGTTCCGGTTCAAAAACAAATTCTGGATAATGAATTGTCAGCAACGATGTCGCAAGGCTCGTCACACGAGCAGTGAACTGGGCTACTCAGGTGAGTGAACGGTTTTTATCGAAGACGTTGCGTCGAGGGTGCAGCACGTGATCATATTTTAGATCTACGACTCCCACTTTGCCGGGACCATTTTCTCTCGGGCGAAACTATAGGTACAGGAACCCTCCCCTATGGCGGAAATTTAATAATTGGTCGTGAGTACACTAAATAGCGCTTTTTTCTTTTTGCGTGTGGTCTATAATAACCGAGCTCAAGTTATATAGGATTAGACCCGCAAATGGATCCTGCGATGTCCGCAAGGACAAGCGAACGAAACATCATGTTCAACATCTCTAGGCACATCGAGAAAAATATAGTGATTGCATTGAAGTTGACACCTTCCGACTAGAACCCTTCCCAAATATGTAGTACTGATCGAAATTATCCGCCTCCCTTCATATGCACGAGCCACTGCACAAACGTGCAGGGGAGCCATCTCTAAACAATAATAACACACAAAATCGGATTACCATACAAGGAGACATCCAGGTTGAGACCTTCGTGATCTCTACATCATAGGATGTGGCTACATTGACGATCAAGGCATTCTACAAACGTGATATCTGCGGAAAAAAACAATAGACGAGATCTGGAACTTCTCGTAGAGTGCAATTTGGCAGGAAAGAAACAAGTCTCGGCTATTGTCTACAGGCTGTCTTTTGTGTGATCTGTTATCAGTGTGCCTGCAGCTTAAAAGAAAAATAAAAAAAAAAATAAAAGATTCTTTTGTAAAATTTTTCCACACAAAAAAAACACTTCTTTTTTTGCGCAATATTTACGTTGTGAGATGCAATTTAGGTGGAGCTAGCCACGACCCGCTCTAACTCACGCGACGATCCTTACATACTTTTCACCGGATATACACGCCTATCATATGGCTATAATGACGCAAGCGCAGACGTTTATTTCATTTCGTACATTTAAAAGAAACGTATCGAACAAACATTTTGATGTCTTCGTAATTCGCGGGTATTATTTCCCTTTGGCAATGTACGCATATTGTTTCAGTCTGTCTCCGATAGTTACAGCGTGCCGATTTCGTAACTGTTGCATCTCGTGTTGTTCTTTTAATTCTGTCCAGTGCCGTAACCGTGTCCTGAAACCTCGCGTCACGACTCGACTTCTTTCGCAACAGCCCTCCAGGCTATAGCTCTTCTTTCGATAAAATAAATCATATGAGAGATCGTACATGCATATAGAAAGATTGCGTTTTGTGTTTGATTAGACAGCGGAAGGTTTTTGATCCCCGGTGGTCGTTCGCTGCCTTCGCTGTAGGTCAGAAATGTAACCAGTGTAGCACCACTGCTATAGCCTAAGCTCTCGAACGTACACTACGCCCAGTTCACTTCAGATCAATTTATTATTCCTCAAAGGCAGATCAAATAAAGTGCATTACACGAAGAGGGGATCTAGTAAACATGATTAAACAGTGAGAGTTGCCACTAGTGAAACACGACCGTGAATTTTTGACAGTGATCAGAAAACCACAATGCAACCCACACATCACTTACGCATATAAATAATAATAATAATGATAATTACTGTGCATACTTTACATATTAAAAAATCCAAACACCACGCAACGCTATAACGGGCCTCGCCGCATTGGGCATTGGGTGGAGCGTTGCTTTTTCTGTGTGTGCAGTTTCTACGGCGATTCTCGCGTCGTACCAGACTGTAATAGCTGGATCTGGAGTTGAACAGCTGACAGATGCTGCAGCTCTATAGGTCCCATATATAGAAACGGCGCCAGTTTGTCTCGGGGGAGCCGACGGGCGGTCCGTTGAAAGCAGCTATAGAAACAAGCCGGCCAAAATGAAAGAGGAACGACGCGAGAAGTTCGCACGCGACTCCCGGGGTCAGCTGGCCTGATGACGCAACGGCACTTGCGTATCGCGCTGACCCAGAAAACCGTTATAGCACGGCCCCGCAATACGCCGACGACGACCAGCAAAGCGAGGTTACAGGCGAGAGAAAAAGAAAAGGGACGAGTACGAAAGCGGTTGCACTCTTGGCGCGCTTTTCCCTTAGGATGCTGACAACTTTAGCCAAGACGCCATGTTTGGTCCACGCAAGCGGAGCGCGTGTCGGTTCTGCACGCTGTAACTGGAAGGTTTCTGCGAATTTCAGCGTTTATAGTAGGAAGAATAGCGAGCAAACAGCATCGCGCAGCATCGCCAAAGGCAGTTCTCTACGTTGGGTTGCTTTAGAGCACTATATAGCTCCTACGGAGCAGAGTAGCGCAATCCTTTGAACCCCGTGTTTTGCCGACAACATGGCCGACAGAGCAGCTCGGCGCGAGTCACGTGGTGCTCAGGGTTCCAGGAGGCGGCCCGCCCTATGGGAGAATACATGGAGATCGACACAACACGGCTGATTAAAAAATGAACGGCGAGTTCACACTTTTCAAAACTAGTCTGTCGTGAAGTTAGTAAAGCAGTAAACCATTTATCAAAGTTTTAATAATATCGGATGCGTGTGCAAATTTTGAGAAGGCAATTTCCAAGGCAATGGCGTTTGAAGCAGACGATTTTTGCTCGCAGCGGAGATGGGCTTTTCGGGTTGGTCGGAGCGGGTCACGTGAATGGTGTGACGTCGCCGTGTCGTCTGCTGCGTGATGCCGCTCAGGCAATTTTTTAAAAAAAGTCACGCCCTTGCGGGGCACAAAACTTTGCACAAAATATTCTAAAATGTTCCATTATTATGTAAAAAATAATTGCCATTCCGTACAACCCCACAAAACTGAAGAAACAACGATTTTCTCACGTTCTCCATGCATTTCTGACAATAGTTGGAACCTCCGGGCGTTCGCCGCTAGTCGCCGAGAGGCGGCGTTCTAGATTGCGCTACTCTGCTCCGAAGGAGCTATATAGTGCTCTAGGTTGCTTGGGCCTTCCCGACCAGTGGCCTTGCTCACACCAAATGCTGTACAAAAATAAATTAAGTACAAAAAAAAAAAGTTTAATGTTGAAGTTTTGGAACGAACTGCGTTATCTCAATCAAAAGTTATAAGTGATTTTCTGAAAATTTGAATGCGAAAATTCGGCTAATTTTTGCCTGTTTTCGGTAACCGGCGCCATAGAGCCCCTTCATGTATTCAAGGCATTAAAATCATCTGGTGGGCTAGTTGGCTAAACATATTGTTTAGCCAACTAGCTAAACATATTATTCTCATCATGTATTCAAGGGCTCCGTCAACCGTAATTTGCCCACTGAAAATTTCAGGAAATCACTTCTAAATTTTGAATAACGTAACGGTTAGTTCTGAAATTTTGGCATCTGGTTAGGGCCGCTAGCGCTACATTTGGGCGGAAAATAAGCGTTCGGAAATTTTTAAAACAAAAATGTAAATATTTTTGGGGACACTTTGCATTTGCCTACACTTTTTTGGTTTTCCCCCTTTCCCCTCACACACACACACACAGAATAACAACAATAATCACCCGTGTATATAGACGCTTTGCAGCAGCTGTGCATGGACGCCGCCATAACTGACCTTCAGTTTTTGTTTTCTCTTATTTCGTTCATTTCACTTCCTCTTTAGTATAGCAGGTCAGCTTATTGCGACATTAAATTCAACGGTGTCCTTTTCTAAAGCATCGGCCTTTGTAGAGGAACGTCAATTACCATTTCAGTTGCTCGGCATCTCGGTAAGACAAGAGAAGGTCAGCAATGACGGCTGTAATTTGGCGCGTGTGTAAAGCTATCAGCTATGCCACGTACTTACAAGAAGGTATGTAGTTCGGCTTGTTGGTGGTGTATATTTCTTTGGAGGGAACAGCGCTAAAAGACGTAGGACCAGAACGTAGGACCAGGACGTAGGACCAGGACGTAGGACCAGGACGAAAAAACACACAGACAGCGCCCTGCCTGTGTATTTCCTCGTCCTGCTCGCACGTCTTTTAGCCTTGTCCCCACCAAACAAGCACGTATAACACACACCACAGCGCACTATAGCAAATAACACTCACACCTTACACACGAAAAATAAAGCAAAATTCAAACAAACCGCGCGGTTTGTTTGAATTTGCTTTATTTTTCGTGTGTAAGGTGTGAGTGTTATTTGCTATAGTGCGCTGTGGTGTGTGTTATCATGTGCAACACACTCGCCCAAGCTGCTACGTTAACAAGCACGTATAGTTCTTACACACTCCACATAACCAAAAAAGAAAAATCTGGATTTTTTTAAATTTTTTTATTTTAATGCCGAGAAACGTCGACCTAACCTATTCGGTGACAATGTCTAACTTGCTGATATCATATGCAGATATTCTTCGCATTTCTTTTTCTTTTCTGGTGTTTCTGCAAATTAATATCAGCGTCATCAGAACCAACAGTACCACAGAGGAGAGGATACGTAAAAGAAAAAAAAACGTATATATCGCGAGGCGGGATCTGAGCTGGTTCAGCATCGGTTCAGCGGTACAGCAGCCCTCGAAGCCGACGCGTGCAGGCGCGTTCCCTTGACCGGTAATGGCCAACTCCTTCAAGCGCTTCCTCACCCTGTTCGGCTACAAGCTGGACCGCAAGTGGGGCGACCTCAAAGCGCGCGTCAGGGAGAAGGCGGAGCGCTCCAACAGCCCGTCCTGGAGCTCGGTTCGTGCCCCGCTCGACAACATCTGCAAGCGCAAGAAGAACGGCTTCGGCAAGCTGGACGACCGCAAGGTGCCACAAGAACTGCCGGCTTTCGGAGCCTACTGTCACTACTGAGACTGGCCGCAGTTGTCTCCTCCCTGGAGCCTGTGTCCAACTCGATCCAGCACCAGTACTGATCAATGGTAGTCAAGGGCTATTTAAAACAATTTTCCAGAACTACTACGCAAGTAGTCCGGCACTAATTCACCGCTAGCAGCCCGGAACTAGTTCTGGACTTGCCTAGGTCCAATTTTGGGTCCTTGAATGAATGCATGCCACCTTGTGTACGGGTACCATTGTCTGAACGTGCGTCTTTTCATACTCCTTGAGTCTGTGGTGCATGATGGCACGTTTGGGTTTGAGTGTAAGTGTTAGCATTCGTCAGTTTCGTTCACCCCCGCTCGGCCTGCGACCTCGTACGTTACTCCCCTGGAAAGATCCGAGGGCCGTTGATGTATTTTAGTGAATAATGAATACTGTTCATTATAACTTTCAGCGCGACTTGGACAAAGACAGACAGAGGAGAAAACACAGGACAAGCGCTGAACTAGGCTCTGATTCTATTGAAAATACATGTAGTCGCACTGTAAGTTATAATGAACATTTACCAACTCGCCCAATTGTCCAGTCTGCTAGGTGATTATTGTATCTATAAAACTGAGTGTACGCTCTCTAGTTGGAATAGAATCGATTGTTTGTCACCGATTAAAACGAAGTCAGACTCATTCGCTTATTTGGATATAGATGAAGCAGACTTAAACATGCTCCACTTGTAAATGCATCTCACGTTCGAGTTGCTGCCTTCGTTTTTATGCGTCTCTGGAACGGTTAAATATGCAACATGAACTTGAAAATCGACACAAAGAAACCAGGGAAGTCTGAGAAGGAAAGTGTATAACATGGATTTAATATTTGCGTGTGGTCATCACACAATACCTGACTCTTTTGCCATTGAATAAAACTCTGTTGTTGGGTCGGCCAAGAGCTTCGCCGGTGAACCCACCTCAATGACCTCACCGTCTGCCATAACAACGATCTTATCCGAATCCAAAATAGTATTTAACCTATGAGCAATGGTTAGTACGGTGCTGTCTCTGAACACCGTTTTGATGGTTCTTTGAATCAGCGCGTCTGTCTCGACGTCCACTGCCGCTGTGGCTTCGTCCAAGATCAGAATTTTGGTCGACTTGAGCACGGCCCTAGCCAGACAGACCAGCTGCCTTTGGCCCACACTGATGTTGTGCCCTCCCTCTGAGATAGGTGTCTCAAGTCCTTCTGGAAAGCGACCTTTGAGCTTGGTCCTTTCCAGGACGTCCCATAACTCGATGTCCTCGAACTGATCTTCGGGATCCAAGTTCATGCGTAATGTGCCGCTGAACAGGATGGCATCTTGGGGAATGATGGTCAGCTTGGACCTCAGGTCGTGCAGCCCCACTTTAGATATGTCGACATTGTCGATGAGAATGCTTCCCTTAGCTGCTTCCAGGATTCTGAAGAGGGCCAAGGTCATCGTCGACTTCCCGGCGCCTGTCCGTCCTACTATCGCAACTTTCTCGGCCGCTTCGAACTCCAGGTTGACGTCGCGGATGCACAGTCCAAGCCCGTCTCGGTAACGAGCGCTGAAGTTGACGAAGGTGATGACTCCTTTCTGTGGCCAGTCTTCTGGAGGACTCGGGTCCACGCGACGCGGAGCTTCGCCCTCGATCTTCGAGTACTCTTCGACCCGTTCCGAAGACACAATGGCTGCCTCTGCCTCCGCTGCAAAATGAATCAGGTTGTTGAAGGCAAATGTTGATGTGAGCATGTACGAGAGAATCACACCGGCCGTACCGGGCGCCATCTGGCCTCTCCAATATACTATCAGGAAGGCGGTGACCAGAATCATCGTGCAGCCTATAACGTCTAAACGACTAATCATCCACAGCTTAGAAATAAGGAGGAAAAAAGAGCAGTTTTGGGTCTTGTCAACCTCTGTCAAAAATCCATCGATGAAGAGTTCCTCGGCACCGTAGCTCCTGATGCTGCTAAGTCCATCGAGTGTTTCGGCGAAAGCATTGACCACTGGCGATCTAGTGATGGATTCCAGACGCTTCAACTGTCGCAGTGTCTTGAGGTAAAGCTTGCGCATGAACAGGTAGAGCATTGTGAGCGGCACAGCGGCTATGAGAAACGACGGCAAAACGACGGTGATAAGAATGATCATAGCAAGTAACTGAAAGAATAATTCAAAGAACATGTTCGCCATCATTGGAAGTTGAATATCCAGTTGATCAACGTCTTTACCGACTCTGTTGAGGATCCGACCTAGGGGAGTTGTGTCGAAAAAGGACATGGGAGCTTCAAATAGGCACCTGAGCATATTTTCGTGTAGTGTTCTTGAGGCCCTCACAGCTCCCACGGACAGCATCGATGTGCCCAGGAAAGCGAACATGCCCATGAATAATCCAATGGCGCCAAACACCACTATTCGGGTGGTTCTTTTCGCGACGGTCTGCTCTTCTTTGGGAAGTTGCGCGTCCCTACTCCAGCTTCCAATCCAAAGTCCCGCGCTGACGTCGAAGACTCTACAAAGAATGTAACCAGTAAACGCGACGAGGAGAAAGGTGGTGCCCATGTGGTTCACGTAGTTTGTATAAACGTGTCTCTGGATAGAGCCAACCTGGGCCACCTCCGCGCCGACCAGGGCGTTTGCTCTCGTTGCCCCTGTCCCGGTCACGGTGAATTCCACCGCACTGTCGCTCATGAGGCTCAGTACGCGAGCAACGGGTCCGCAACTGTCCCTTCTATCTTCTTCGTGTGGTATTTTCGAATGCTCCGTGACGACCTTCGCGAAGTCGCCACCTTTGGCCATAAGTTCGGAGAAGCTGCCGTAATCTGAGAACCTGCCATTTTGCATGAAGACCACCACGTCAACTAATTTCAGGAGGCTCAAGTTGTTGGTGACGAATATCCTCGTTTTTTCCCGCAACAACCCACGGTGACCTATCACCTTGCTGAAGATCTTGGAGCCAACTTGGGCGTCGACGGCGCTCAGCGGGTCATCGAGTAAGTACACGTCCTTGTCAAGGTAGACTGCCCTGGCCAGACTGATTCTCTGGCGTTGCCCGCCGCTCAAGTTCACGCCCTTTTCACCAATCTCAGTCTGGTCACCATCCATAAGCATGTCGAAGTCGCTTTTGAGGCAACACTTGTCCGCGACCTTCCTATAAAAGTACTTCTCGTACTCATTCATGAAGGTGATGTTTTTGCGGATGGTACCGTGGATGATCCAAGCTCTCTGCGGCACGTAGGCGACCGATCCTTCAATGTCAATTGTACCTTCAATAAGACACATTTCGCCCAGCATCGCGTTGAGTAAGGAAGACTTTCCAGCGCCCACCAGCCCGAAGATTCCCACTAGCTGTCCCTTGGTTACGGTCAGATTGATGTTTTTAAGCAGCGGCGGAGCGTCCGTGGCGGTGGACCACGCGAAAGAGGCATTGTCGATACGAATAGCAACTCCGGATCCTGGGTTGTTACCGACAAGTTCTGAATCTTTCTCGTCAGCATCCAGAAACTCTCCAATGCGCTGGAACGCGACTCGTGTCTGAATCAGATTGGAAATGACGTCAGGGCAGACAGCCAGTGACTGTCGAAGCATGTTGCAGAGTGTTATGGTCACAAAGCCGGTTTCGATGTCCAGTGTGGTCAACCCACTCGCGAACATGTAGATTGAAAAAACGGCGAGGGACTGCATGAATGGTAACGTAAACCAAAAAAGTCTCATGAAGGCTGCCAGAGTGGTGTATTTTTTCAGTGTCGCCACCTCTTGATCGCGTAGATCAAATATATGCTCCATGAAAGGCACCTCCCAAGCGTAAAACTTAAGGATCTTGATGTTCCCTAGTGCCTCGCCAGCGTACATTAGTCGACTGTCCTTTAGGATCATTAGTCCTTGCTGTAACCCACTACAGACACGAGTGAGTCCTGCTGTTAAGGGAATGAGGGTCAGCGTCACTACAGGCACCGCAAGCGCAGAGGGTCCCACAAAGTGCCAGAGCCATATTGTTACGGTGATAGACATAAAAAACGCTGTCAAACCCTGGCCCATCAAAAGAGACGTCTGGTAGACCTTGTCAGCGTCCACCGTGATTAAGTTGATGATCTCACCGATTGTGTACTTGCTGAGCGAAGCACTAGCGATGCGAAGGGTCTTCTTGTAGACCGCGTTCACAAGGATGCCTTTGATTTGTAAGCCGAGCAATACAAAGTGAAAGTCGCAGTGACGAAGCAGCGTCATGCCTATCTTGCCCGCCACGAAGATGGAGACACCATAGATGTAGCCCTTCCACGTCTCTTGCTTAGAAGAGACGTACCTGATAATCAGAGTCAGCAGGACAGGGGGCAATGTCCTAAAGAGTGTGAAAAGCAGCATCATAGCGCAAGTAGCGAGTATAGTCAGCCAGTAAGTCCTAAAAAGGGACAGGACTAGCCGATGGCCCTCGATGGTCTCGTCATTTTTGTACATCCATCTGGTGTAGTTATTGACAGTTTTGAGCTTCTTTGACACCGCGAAGAGGTCGTCGACCTTGAGCGTCTTGCGAAAGCCAGTTAGAATTAGCGGAGTAAACCACTCGAAACTGACGGAAGACGGCAGTGACGCGACGTCCAGCGGACAAGGCTTTCTCGTGTCGCTGATGTGACGTTCCGTGAATGAGTATAGAACCACGAGGCAGCAGATGACTGGAAACACAATCATGCTGACGGTGTAGTGGTACCCAGACGGGAGCACAGTGCTGAGGCTGCTGAACGTATTCCGAAACATTCTATAATACGTGGGGAACGAGCACAGCATGCTCATCGTCCAGTAGGTAAACAGGACGTCAGATGTCCTTCGCGCTCGCCTCTGATCAACAATCTGGTACAGAAGCGCTATTGAGCAACCTGCTGTCTGTACAATTGAAGCTGTAAACTCGGAGTCGGGGATGCCAGATGAATGATCCGCGTAGATCCCTAGGCTATATATGAGGCAAAGATAAGATGTCATAAAGTACTTTAAATAGGTGAGCAAGGTCATCGGGTACGGCCTGACCTTGGGGCCCAGGGAAGAAGCCATCTTGGAAGGTAAGGACACTACCAGAACCAGGAAAGGGATCCAAGTGAGTACAGTGAACTCGAAGCAAGGTGTCAGCTGGGGGTTCTCTGTGTGCCACGTGACGTTGAGATCCCAGAAGGGCGTCTTGCAGAAGCCTTCGAAACCCATGGCCGAGCTGCGACCAAGGAACAATCGTCAAAAATGGCCTCAACACTTGTCCATTGAGCGTTTCATTCTTGGTCCATCCTGGCGCTCTGGTGATGTCGGTCATTGACCATCCTTTGGCGGCAGCAGGACTGCCCGTTGAAAACGGTTATGAAACATGGTGTGGCTCTCACTCCGAAGCCCTTGGCTTGGAATCACGAATGCTGTCGCCGTGGACGCTTGCTCAACACAGCGCATAAAGTCCTCGGATCCTTAACGTTGGTAATAAAAAACTTTAGACCACTAATGCCCCTCCTTCAAAGGACTGGACATGGTGCAGTGGTCAACGCCAACACTGTTGTTTCTTTATTTTTGTCGTCGTCGTCGTCGATGCCGTTGCCAACTAATTTCCAAATGTTATACTCCGTTTCACCTTATGTTTTACCGCAGCGAAGGCTGGAAGAGCGAGCTCATAGCGTTGACAGCTGCCCTTACTGCACGAGAGCTTGTGCCGCCGAGATATGCCCCAGAGCAAAGAGCTCGCGCTTATAGCCTTTCCTGCGGTACAACATAAGGTGAAACAGAGTATAGCAAAAGCGTTGGTATACAAAGAGGAATCGAGGGAGGATCGGGGGTGCGTTAGCGCACCGCAGCTATACTCCGTTTCACCTTATGTTGTACCGCAGCGAAGGCTAGAAGCGCGAGCTCACAGCGTTGGCAGCTGCCCTTAATGCACGAGAGCTTGTGCCGGCAAGATGTTCCCTAAAGCTAGGAGCTCGTTCTCGTAGCCTTCCCTGCGGTACATCATAAGGTGAAATGTAGTGTAGGAGCATGCATGTGGAGCGAAAGCTCGTGCTGCATAACCCAGCTGTATATAGTGTATGTCCAGGAATCCAGGGTTCCATCCCCACGCCTGTCCCTTTCGATCTGGATGAGCATCGTACCGACGTGCGGTCGTGGATCACTACTGCGTGATTAAAGACCCCAGACTGGCAGTATATGTACCGCACTCCCGAATCCTAAACACGGTTCGGGTTCGGCGCATGCGTTGTGGTGAGCCCCGATTTTCTAGGGGCCCCTTCATGTTGGGTTTTCCTAGCGCAACTAAAAGAGCTACGCTTAGAGTATCGGCACTCTGTTCCTTAATATTGTCGTGGGCGCCGCCATCTTGGTGCTTGTGTAGAGCGGGCGCAACTGCATGCCGATCGTCATGACTTCCTCAGCATTAGATTAGGTGTTAGAAAGCTCATGTAATATTGCTTTGCTCTGTTGCAAACTGTTTGAACATTTGTGGAGGACGGAAATGTGTTTCAGGTGATTTCAGATAAAGGTGCAGATAACTGACAACCATGGTTTTAAGCTACAAGGCGGGTAAGTTTCGTTACTTTGAAGCAGGGGTAGTCAAGCTGCGGCTCTTCACGTGTTAAAGTGCGGCTCGCCCCCCCCCCCCCCCCCCCTCCCCCACACACACACACATACACACTCTCTTGCCTCCCTCCTAAGGCCTTAGCGCTCTTCTCGTGACGTCGCGAAGGAAGGCCATCGGGGGCGCGCGTCGAAGCGAATGCAACGCTCGTGGATCGACCGTCGTAACGCGCTTTTAGTCACATACGCGTGTCTTATTAGCTAAAATTAGTGCCACTAAATAAGCTACGCTTCAGAGTAACGACACTTGGCCATATTGTGGCTTAAAATCATGGTTGCCGGTTATCTGAAGCTTTATCTGAAATCACAGGAAATGCTTTTCCGCCCTCCACAAATGTTCAAACCGTTCGCGACAGAGCAAAGCAATATTACATTACCTTCCTAACACCGAATCTAATGCTGAGGAAGTCGCACTTTTGAATCATGACGATCGGCCGTTGCGTCTGTTCTGCATACGAGCCAAAATGGCGGCGCCCACAACAATGTCGGGGAACGGAGTGCCGATACTCTAAGCGCAGCTTATTTAGTGGCTCTAGCTAAAATGAAAGCTGCACATAGAAACAGGTCTAGAAAACATTTTATTACAAGGGCAAAATATTACACCGCTAAATAATCGGTATGAAATGGTACGAGGTAGGCGTATATATATAAGAGAAAACATTGAGTCACGCAATTATTGCTGTAGGGATGCATATTTTACACAGAAATATTTCGACAAAATGGCGAGACACGCCGTGATTGGAGACAGCAACACAGATCACAGTTAAAAATCAGGTAGACGTAGTCAACGCGGACACGGCTAGACAAGTGTCACTTTATGATGTAAGCGATGTTATCGCGTGCAGTCACTGAATTTTCGCATTATACCTTGGCCACATGGCAAAAGTAATGTAATTTCGATCGAATGACATTGGGTCGACAAATCAGCTTGCGACGCTCGTATAATCACTCAAGACCGCGGTGTGTGGCAGGGGTACTAAACTTACTATTTACAGTAAACTAATTTATTTCTCCGTATGGGCTCAAGCTGCCTTGGAACAAAATTAACTCATTTTGTATACAATAATACTATTACCCTAATACAGTTAAGATTCTAGTATAAATGCGGTAAAGACGATAAAATAACATTAGTATAAATAAACACATAAGCATAAACAACGCACTTCGTAAAATCGCACAAACTTGTTATTCCCCTTCCAGTAAAAATTACCACGGTGTAAAAGACGAAAACAAATGAACACGAAGAGCTTTCTCCTGCCCGGGAGAAGAAGAAAAACACGATGGAGGGCGACGGAGAGCCTACTCGGCGTTGTCTTACTTGATATTTGTCTTTCGTATATTTATAGATGCCTAGCCCTTTCTTCTAGTGGCTCTATGACCGGTCCTACAAAAAGTCGTGTTTTCTTTTTAGCTATTCTCCCCTTCCCGATGTTCTGTAGCCCCTGTAGTTCTTAAAAGCGCAAAAGACACGGACGAGGAAGAGGCACATGCAACACAGACTGGCGCTAAGTTTCAACTTAGCGCCGGACTGGCGCTGGAAGGCTGGAGCCCTCTAAGTTTCTTCCCTGGCTACGCCATTGCGCTGCAGGCCCCAGGGATCAGCGCGGATGGGACATCTCACTCTTTGTCTTCGTCAGGAATAATAAAGAGTTTTGGTTAATCGTTCCGATGCCTCCGATAACGGTACCCAGTGATGATGCGCATGTGCAAATGTGTCGACGGGGTATCCGGTATCGTTATCAGAATTATCAAAACGATCTACTAAAACTCTCTTATCATTCGGATTTCGATCAAACATCGTCGGATGGCAAGACATTCATCGTGGCCGATCATTAGATAATATCTGTCTCGAAGCGCGGATGTCACACGGAAAAGGTCGGAAAACCATGAGCTCATGTTGACCAGAGCCACCGCTGATAAGGGATGTCGCGAACCGATCGAGGTTCGAGTTCGACCAGGTTCGACTTTTTCGACCTTCTTATGAAAAGTTCGACAAAGGTTCGACTCAGGTCCGACTGCAATGCGCGTGCGCGACAGGCTGGCCAGTTGCCTTCGGATTGGATGGTTTTGGCTAAGGGATGAATTAAGGGCAGCACTGGTTGGTTATTTCAGTTGATACAACAACAACAAAAAAAAATTAAGTTATGAACTTCTTCAGTGATTATAATTAGTTTCTGTTAATTACAACTGCTTACAAAACTAAAATAATCCTTTGCATAAAAAAAAAAAAAAAATTTTCCGAACCTGGACATGCTTGTATCAAAGTCTGGCCACACTGTCCACAAAGTTGAACCAGTCGAAACTGTTTAAAAGGTCGAATGTTCGTCGAACCGGTCGAACCCAAAATTCGACCTAAAAATCCGGTTCGACAAAAATCCGTGACATCCCTACGGCTGATTTCCCGGTCACCCACAGTGTAGCCAGAACACCTGAATCAGCCGTCAACAGTCAGGGCGGAGTACGTGCCATTGCCATTACGGACTCTGCTTTTAATTTTGGGAAATATATATCATTCGCAACCGCTTTAAATAATATGGTTAATAAATTCCAGTATTAAATATTACAGAAATGTACCTCGCGAATACTTGATTTTTGTTGTTTCTGTTTGCAATATTCAGAGTTTTAGTAGACTGTTCGATGATACCTTGGATAACGCTGCGCAATAACGATACGGCGCGTGTGCAAAGGCATCAGCGGAATATCGGGTATCGTTTTCAGGGTTATAGGAACCATTTACTAAAACTCCCTGTTATCGCGAATCGCTTGAGTGTAGGGCTGGGCACTTGATCGATAAACCTTCCGAATAATCGATTAATGATTTAATCGCGATTCATTTTTTTTAACCGGTTAATCGGTTCCTGTTTGACAAACAAAAAGAAAGTAAAACTCTAACGCTTTCGCCACGCAGATGTGGACCAGTACACTTGTATAGAGGGAAACTTTAGGTGAAATTTTTACCCAGGTAAACTGTATAGGGTTGATATTCGTAACTCCAAACAGTGGAGAAGGTTATGCGCGTACCAGCCATTTCAACAATGTGCGAGTGTCCGTTTAGGCCATTGTGAACAATCGAAGGAGTTCGCCGGAGAATATCAACGAACCTCTTTGCCTCTGCGGCTGAAGTAACATTTTGTTAGTGCGGGTGTCTTTTAACTGTTCTCAACTACACATTGATTAAAATTCAAAATTGTACATTGCCCCGTTTATCAAATATTCGGCAAACGCAAAAAACAAAAACAAAACATTTAATTTTGACATTTTTAAAACTATTATGCATGGGAATGAGCGAACCCGATCAGTCGATTAATTAATAGATTACAGGGTGGCGATTAATCGGGTTAATTTTTGTTTTATCGACGCCCAGCCCCCCCCCCCCCCCCCCCCCCCCCCCCCCCCATTTGAGACAAAGCTATATATATATCTTGCGGTTATCAGTGACCTTTCAAGCGTGGTGTATGGAAACTTCCACAGCCGGAAGTACAGCGACCGATATCGGAGGCCTTTCGATCGTTCTGTGTCAGCTCGGGGAAGAGTTCCATCATGGCGAGTCCGAACTATCTTCTGACGATGATTAATATTTGCACAGATGAGAAATTGTAATGGCATGTGGCGAAGCGATCGAACGATACATATTCACAAAGAAAATGGTAGAAGTGTGGGACATTTACCCCGCACATACATGTCAGCATTCAACATTTAGCCCGCACATATACATTTCAACAGCAAATTAAAAAGAAAACACTCGTTACGGTTTAACTTGCAGCATCATCAAAATTTCACTGCAATGCTACACATACACTGTGCCCCCTAAAACAAAAATTTAACTAAGGTAAATGAAAACTTTTAGCTAACCCTTACGTAAACGTTTTTTTTTTTTTTTGTTTTTTTTTTTATCAGATTGTGTCCTTCGCAAAGAAATGAAGACACCGAACTCTGACACCTACCGCCATCTATGAGCGACGGCGGCAAGCCACGTATCTGGTGGCCGCCGTCGCTCTTAGATGGCGGCAGCCTTTCCACTATGGCTTGCCGACTTGCGGCCGGCCATTACTTTCCATTGCACAGCTCCACTGGTCTTCCTCCTTCACTAGAGTGGAAAGGCTGAAAGTTTTTCTTTAAAATATGTTTTTGTGGTCAAGATTTATTTCCACAAAAATAGTAAAAAAAAAAAAAAATTAACCCACAGTTTTTTTTTTTTTTTTGTCTATTTATTTAGCGGGAGCAGGTATGTTGTCTGCAAGCTGTCTAGGTTGAGAAGCATCGAATCATAGAGATCATACATACTAACTCTAGAGGAAAAGGTCCGCCATTTTCCCATACATTCTGGCTGCCGCAAGCGGCGTATCATGCAGGCAGACCCTCGGGGTCCCAAACACGGTTACATCATCAGAGTAGTTTCGTGAACGTCAACAATCCACGAACTTACCGGTGGAAAGATATTCGCGTTCCTTTCGAAGCTTTCTTTTTGCATAGCGCGCAGATGTACGGCCTCGCGTTAACGCTAAACTTCGCCGGTGGAGCGCGGCTGGGCGCGGTTGAGGAATACGAAACTGCGCAACCACCAGATTTCCGAGATTTCGACAGAAGGGAAGTTAATGCAGCGTAATGACTTTATTGCTTTTTATAAGTGTTAAAATAGCTCAGAATTTAGTTTACAACGTTAAATTATTACTGTTTATATTGCTGAGAGTTTTCACTCTTCGCGTTTACCATGGCAACGTTGCTTTCTTTCTCTCGTGTTCTGTCGCTCTCTTTCGCGATCATTCGCTTGGGACCCAGGATGTCGGCGCACGGGATTCGCCACTCCTCCTCACCCACCTTTACCCCCCCTGCATCGAATGGAAATAATGAGGGCGAAAAGCTTTCGGTTTTGTTCCATTCGGTTTTCGTAGCGTGAGCTACACATGGCCGAGGTTGAGCAATTTCGCGTGGCTCGCATAATGAACCGTGCTCCGTGCTGCGCATGCGTGAGGAGCAGTGACTTCACACGGCGCACAGCTGGCGCGCCGGAGCCGCCGCCGCCGCGCCCGCCTCGCCGGTCTGCGCATTCCAGAGGAGTGACGTCATAGCTGCGGCAGACGCACTGGTGCCGCCGCGTGCCCAGCCTTGCGCCTCCGTTGTGCAGTAGCCAAGTCTGACGCTGCACCGGAGCCGCTTGATAGCGCCTCTCATTTTGTGCGCATAAGCTCACGCTCCGAGCTAAGCCACCGCAATTTTTGTTATTTTGGCGCGTCGGCTTCCGCGGCATTCCGGCGCTCCTAAGCTCAGTACCGATGTTCCTTACCGTGCTTCTCTATAGGATGATGAGCTCTCATCCTCTGAATTCGATACGGCACTCCGCTTGCCACTATCGCCATAGCAGCCGACACGCGAAGCGACCATCTCTCGTGTGTCACGCGTCGAATTTCAGAGCAAGGCGAAACTTGGGCGAAACCACAAGCGAAACATATACGGGCGAAACACGGTGGTGTGAATCGTGCCAATATGACAGTTATCAATGACATTTATAGTTTTCCAAAGACATAAAAGATGGCAGCACCTCTTAAGAAGCTCTCTTGGCTCGTTGTTTCCCGTTTCGTCGGGAACACCAAGAATGCCAAGAATCGACGCCACGTGGACGGTATTGATGTGTTTTGCGAGTGCAGTGTGCGTGAAGCCGTATCTAAAGGTAGTACAACTCGTCGAAAGCAAGTGTCACCGGTCTCGCGGCGTGATCAAAGCTTCCTTGGCACGCCGAGTGCTACATCTTTGTGCCTTCGCACGCTTGGATGCCGATCAAGAATCGACGCCGCACCAAAGTTCTGAACGTGTGTCGCGCGTACATACATGCCTTTAGATTGTGAACGAAGAGGGGAGAAGGTGATTATTAAATTTATTGAATTAAAGTTAGGGAAAGGGAAAGAGAGCTGGCGAAAATTGGGCCAGGAGCGGGGATTGAACCCGCAACCTTCGCCTGTCCGGAGCGACGCCTTAACCGATTAGACCATCCCGGTTATAAGTGATTTTCTGAAATTTTAAATGGGAAATTGGCGGCCGATGGAGTTTCCGAATACATGGGGCTCTAGTTTCTATGGCACCAGAAACCGAAAATGGGCTCTATTTTCCCACTGAAATTTTCAGAAAATCACTTATAACTTTTGAATAAGGTATCGGATCGGGCTGAAACTTTGGCATCTGGTGTGACCTGTGGCGCTACCTTTGAAGGGAGAATGAGCGTTCGGCGATGCCTAGTTTATTTTTGCGGTAAAAAAAAAAAAAAAAAAAAAAAAGAAAAACTGTAATTTTTTTTTTTTTTTTTGAGAGCAAAGTAAGACGCTGCTCCAGAGGCACATACGGCTTCACGCACATTGCACTCGCAAAACACATTCACACGGCGCGAAATAACGTAGAACATTATCGACCTATTTCCATTCTGTCTTGCTTTCCTAAAATCCCGGAAAAACATATGTGGGTAACTATGAATAGCTTTTTAAATAAACACAGTTTACTATCTCCTTCTCACTACGGATTCACACAAGGCCGAGGTACTCAAATGCTCCTTGAGGACTTTTCTTACATGCTCAATTTATCTTTTGAACGGAATCAAGTTGCCTGCGCACTGTTCCTTGATGTCCGCAAGGCATTTGACAGTGTTAACCATCACATTTTGTTAACAAAGCTTTCAAAGTTAGGCTTTCGAGGTTCTTTTCTAAATTTACAGGAAAACTTTCTACAGGATATATGCGTCAATGTGTTTCATTTGGAGGATATCAAAGCGGATTCTTTTCAATCAAAGCGGGTGTGCCCCAGGGCTCGGTTTTAAGTCCACTGTTATATAATCTTTATGTTAATGACCTCTTCATTGTGGTACCGATTTCAATATGCTGACGACACTGTTATTTTATCTAGAGCGTCCAATTATTCAGATGCTTTTTGGTCTTTACAAACTGCGGCAATTAAAACTATGGTCTGGTTTGAAGCTAATTTAATTAAAGTTAATATATCCAAAACGCAGCTAATATATGTTTCCACAACCCTTTGAAAAAAGTTAATATGACCTCCTCTTTACGATTACATGCGTCTAGATGTCTATCATGTGCATGTGAGCCTATACAGCATACATCTTCTACAAAATATCTTGGCCTATTCTTTGATAGTGACCTAACCTGGAACACTCATCTTGCTCATGTGTGTAAGAAAATTCGTGCAGTGTTTTTGTTTGCCATACAACACGAGATATTTTATGCCACTATCCGTTCGAAAAAATTTTGTACATGCTCTTGTTTACAGTGTGCTCCGTTACGGTATTACCTTGTATGGTCATTGTGCTCTGCGTTGGCAATTTAGAATTAATTCGATTCTGCGTTCTTTGTTAAAGAACATTTCCTATGAGTTATGCCTTGGTAAGGACACTGATGTGTTTAAAGCACTGTATTTGCCTGATTTGAACTCGCTATTGATGGAAACTGTTGTTCATAGGCATTTTTGGGATAATCAATTTAAAGTTCCATATGCACCTTCGTATTCTTAGACCCAAAGAGCGTTACCGGGTACCTCGATGTTTGACAAGATTTGGAAAAAGAGCTCGGAGTTACTATGTACCTGCATTTATGAACAGACTACCTTCTAATATTCTAAATTTAAGAACAAAATACAAGCTCAAGAAATCCCTGAGAAATTTTAGATCGTAAAGTGCTCACTAGTTTGCTTTTGTTATTCTGATTTCTTTGTGTGGATTTTATTTTACACGTTTCCTTTAGCAAACGGCATGGTTTCACTGATTTTAAGACGCTGCCAGTCAAGCCCAATGTGGCTAAGGCAGGTCAGACTTAACATACGTTTTGAACCCGCCGCCTGACCGGCGAAACTTGCTTTCGACGAGTTGTGCCTTTTCCCTGCGGCACTGCGCTTTCGTAAAACTTTCCACGTGTCCTCAACGGCAAATATCAAAGCTCACACAGGATGTTCAAGAACTTCTTCGGCGAATGACGACAAACAAATAGAAAAAAAAAAAAAAAAAAGACGGCAGCACGCAAGGTGGCCGCAATCGCGCTGCAGCGAACAAGCGGGGTTGCGCGATCCAGCAATTGTCATCAGCGGGCGGGAACTTTCAAATGTGTAGTCGCTGCTGTGCGACAACGAACGCCAGACGGTTAAGTAGCTAACTAATTAAACTCTTTTGCCTTTAATTATTTTCTAGTTGCCGCCATGACCCTCTTTTGGTTCCTTAAACAAGACCCTAAGCAAGCTCCTCAAAAAAAAAAAAAAAAACATTATGAATTGCCAAAAAAAAAAAAAAAAACTGGATTTGGTTACACATAGCACTTCAGTTTCTGTGTTCAGGAGTTTTTACCACTTTTAGGTAACGATAACCTTCGTACTCTGAAAGTGCGTCCCTGCTCCCCTACGTATACGCGTGAAACCGAAACCTATTTTATCCAAAGCCGTAGCTGAGTCAGCCGAGCCAAGTCCGATTCAGTCGGATTGTGCGGATTGTCAACAGAAGCCACGTGACATTATGCCACCGAGGTGCCGGCTGCAAGAGCTCCTTTTCGGGCAGGTTTACGAAGGGTTCAAGGCCTTTCGATACGAGATACTCCCATTGCCGTGGAAGCCGACGCACCCCTATAACGACCAGCACACTAACCACCTGTTCCGTCCACTTTCCGGCGTTTACAAAGGCTCAAGACGCGATGGCGGCTGAAGGCGCCGATAACCTGTCGGCTGTGCTCTACAAAAAAGACGATCTTCGTTTGGTAAGCGTAATGCTCATGGCCTTCGTTGCTTGCTTTGACTTTATAAGCACGCGTTGCGCTCTTTGGTTTACGTACGTTTTACCGTAGGTTTTTAAAACCGGGTTTCTGCCAACTCTGCGTCTCGTCTGTTGCAGGAGCAGAGGCCTGTTCCCGAGCCCGGAGATAACGGTAAAGCTGTGTTTCGGTGCAGGGACTATTCATTTTACGTCTTTCAAATTACCAACAGATCCGTCGGTTATCTGGAGTGCTTCGGATCTTACTGTACTAATCGTCGTGCCTAGACCTATCGAACTCGAGATCCGAGAGTTCGCCATCACATACTGCGCGCCCGTCGTCTGGAGCGCATGCTTGGTAGTGAACACCTGGATACCCCGCGTCAGTCATGCAAGCCCGTTTGGGGTAAAACTTCGAAGCATCAAGGTCAAATGTGTGGTGCACCGACGACACTGTGATTTTAGATGAGATGCACTACTGCATTTGAAATTCCAAGGTACACCTGATATTGCGAGCGGGAAAAATGTTACTAATTATTTAAAATGAATACATACCATGTTATGTATCTAAACCGGCGAGCCAACCCGCTAACCCTGTATTGAGCCTTGCAATCCACCATTTTATAAAATGGTCCCTTCGAGAGGTTTTGTTACAAACTGCGCTAAGGCGTGGCACAAATGAGCGCAAGCGCTCCCTCAAACAACAGGGCGAAATCTCAGTGGCCTCCGAAATGTCACTTTTCCGCCTATTGTGGCCTCCCTTTTGACCCCAAAATTCACACAAAAAAGCCTCCTCTTCTCAATTAACGGCGCCATTTGTTTCGTACTGAGAAACCTTCGAACCCAATCTCCATTACTTTACAACTTTTTTCTACAGGAACCACCAGTTGTTTCGAAAATACGTGATTTGAGTGAGTTGTGGATATGCCTGCTGTCTCAGTAACCTCCCAGATATAGTCCCAAGTGAGCTAATGTTCAGTCATTAGGTCATGATAGCTGATAAACACCGAGATGAAAACTTTTTTCCCCGTCCAGGTCACACTACTCACTAGAGTGAGGTCCTTATGTACCAAAAAGATGACCCATTTAATACCTGTCCATCGTTATCAACTATTAGGTGTAGCGACCAAATTCAAAGTCTTATCCTTTCGCCCTATAATGGACTGCGGCAGATGCGTCGAGCCACCGGAGCCAATCCGCAGGGTGAAGCTGGTCACATGACCTTCCAGTTGGCAGATCGACGCGCAGAGCGTGAAGTCACGCACACTGTGCCTGGAATGCATCTTCGACCAATGGGTTTGGGATCCCAAAGTGGCAATTGCGTCGCCAAAGCCAATGTTTCACGCTGTTGAATATCGTGGCTGTTGGTTATAGAAATGCCAGTGAAAAATGTGTGTCAGAGATTGATTGCCTTGGGACTATCACTGACACCAGATGGCGCTGTGAGACGAGGAAAATTAGAGAAGACCTCCTTGTCTGATTGTGCCATCTGGTGTCTGCGATAGTTCCAAGGTACCCAATCTTTGATGTTGGTTTTAATACAGGAATCAACCTTGCGTGCATGTAATGTTTAATTTTTTAGGATGCTCGGAGCATATACATTGGGTTATGGCCAGAAATAGATCGTCGCACAAAGTGGTTTAGTGCCCCTTTAAGGCTGGTTCGCGCACTTGCGACTGCTTACGACCAGAGAGTCTAGAAGCCGGGCTTTAAGCCTCTTGTGACTGCTTACAACCATTGCAAGCAGTCACAAGACGCTTTAAAGTGGTGTTCTGCCTCTCCAGTCATAAGCCGTAAGCGGTTGCAAGTATGCGATTCGGCTTAACGGTAAAACAAAGTCTAGCCGACAAATTCTCGGGTGCTGTCGTGACTGACAAGGCAGCCCCGGTCGTCTTGCAGACGTGCAGATCCGGGTTCATTCGGTGGGCATCTGCGGCTCGGACGTGCACTACTGGGTCCACGGCAACATCGGCAACTTCGTCGTCCGCGAACCCATGGTGCTGGGCCACGAGACGAGCGGCACAGTCTCCAAAGTGGGCAAGAACGTCAAGCACCTCAAGCCAGGTACCAAGTTTTGGGCAATCGAAACCCGGCGTCGGAATACGGGAACCACGAAACCGGTTCTTTGTTTCGACTGGCTAGCTGTCGGAATGAACGCGCGCATTCGTAGGAGGTGGAACGGGGAATCGATGCTGGTTATAGTCGCCGACAAGGTGAGAGCGGTGGGGGGGAGCTTTATTTGTCCCACCTCCGGCACGAGCTTTCTACCTCCGACGACGCTCCGGCCTCTCACGCACCTGTAGCGTGCTCGCGCACCCAAAGTATGGAGAAGTGCGGACAGGAGGCCGAATGTTCAAGAGGCACACCTTGCCGTTCCCGTCCGGTCCAATGGCCCGTGGCGTGGCCAGGAATATTTCTCCAAGGGGTGAGGTCGCTGGGATCTCTATGACTAGCTAGGTTGGAGGGGGGAGGGAGGGTCGAAATGCACGTGCATAATGTAGGGTCGGTTGGATTTTGGGGGGGAGCGGGGGCTGAAGGCTCTTAGCCTTTCCCGTGGCTATGCCACTGGCAGTGTGTTTTCGCAAACACTGTGTCTATGAAGCTAGCATTCGTTTTCCTCCTTTCCCTCAAGTGGACAGTCCTGCCAGGGTAAAATTAATTAATTAATGAGGTTATAAATCATTGTTCGATGAATGAATGAAAAAAAAAAAAGAATTCTGTGAGTGTGGATGCATGTACTGCACGTGCTTGCATCTGCAGCAGCAACTCTCCTGAAGCAAAAATTCAAAACAAACGGCACGTTGCACTTGCTTTTGTCAATACCTTACTTCGGCTATTTATTACAAACCTTTTACTGACAAGGTAAAGCGCATGCAACATGCATACGTATGTTCCCAGCACTCTTCTTTCTGTTTGGGTAATTAGCAAAAGGCCCGTACCATTTGGGAATGTGGCCTGTCGCTCAAAAGTACTTGTAATCCTCGCGAGGTAATTGCACGTGGGAGATAAGCATCATCCAAATTCTGCGCTGCCAAGTCTTGTTTTACGGTGCCCTTTTGATTTCGAGGAGGCGGGGCGATGCGGTTTTGTGCAGTCGTAGACTGCCCGGGGGCCTGATTGCTTTCCAAAGCATTTTGTGCGAGACTGCGGTCATTGTTTCACTGAGGTAACTCATAAATCTGATGTCTGTACCTTGAAGTAGCGAATGCCTTAATGAACTTTGTTTGGGTCTCCGAATGGCCGCCTCATCTGCGCCGCATTCTCACCTCGCTGTGGCGTGGCCCGTGCCAGGTGACCGCGTGGCCATCGAGCCCGGGGTGCCCTGCCGCTACTGCGAGTTCTGCAAGACGGGCCGCTACAACCTGTGCCCGGACGTCTTCTTCTGCGCCACTCCGCCCGACCATGGCACCCTCACCAGATACTACACACACCCTGCCGACTTCTGCTTCAAGTACGCTCTTTCCCTCACTTGACCAAGTGTAAGGGGCTACCCTTCCCGCCACTCACGGCGATTGCTCTCTCTCGTCAGGGAATGGATGCAAATCTGTGCAGGTGCGAGATCGTAAACCCACGAAATTCCCGTACGAAAACTTGCAGAGCCTACCGCTTACACCGAGTGTTTTCTGCAATTCTATTTGCCAAGCGAGACAACCGTGGCCAGGTTTCCCGTTTGTTTTCAAAATGTCCTTTTGTTTTTCAGTTTGCCCCTACTCCAACTTTTGTTTGTTTCGGAAAGGCGACCTTCTTGTAGCGCTCGACATGTTGCGCATGTATGCAGGTTGTGGCGGATGTTTTATACATTATTTTCAAGACCGGTAAGGTCCTTAAGAGCAGAATGAGAGCTGTGAGACCGGCACACGTCTTGGCACTTGTTAAACAAAAATGACGAAGTCACATCAAGCAGTATGTTTGTCCGTTTACAAAAGGAAATAATAGTTGAGGTGGAAAGAGAAAGTTCAAGTCTCATCAAGGCTTTATTTTATCTGAACAATGAGGGCAGGTTAACGGCAACCGATACTGTGCCTTACATGCGGGACAAGCTTACTATAGGAGTTTGTCAGCCAATCTATTCAAATTGTTTTATTGTCTCTTTCGGTTTTGCAGGACATTAAAAGAGGTACATCCTAACCATCCGTAGCGCACCCCAAATATTAGGTTCAGTAGTGCATCGGTGCACTTGTGATAAACAATTCAGTGAAGTGTTGGGAGGAACTACTCTAGTACCTGGAACCTGACTCGCCTTGGGAGTACTATAAGGCAGCAAATTGGCCTAGTTGGTAAACGTTTTTCACGATGGGAAAAAACAGCCCGGTAATCGTGGACGAAAAAAAAAACACAGGACAAAGACAAAGTCTTGTGGTGGTTGTCTTTTCTTCATCTGCGTTTACCAAGCTGTTTGTCACCATCGTGTGCAACTTGAGAGTCTTAAACCTTACAAAGCGAATTATAGTGGGAGGTATCCATCGCAGCGACGTTTTTCCGCAACGCTTCTTGACGGTGCTGCCTTTTGCAGGTTGCCGGACCACGTGTCCTTCGAAGAGGGGGCCCTCCTTGAGCCGCTCTCTGTGGGAGTCCACGCTTGTCGCAGGTCCCACCTGAGCCTTGGCCAGACGGTGCTTATCTGCGGAGCAGGTCTGTGTCCTCCCCCGTCCTGGTCTGCCCTTTCTAGGCTGTTGGGAGGGAGACTGAAGTTGGCTTCAAAGTCCGATTTCGTGGCTGAATCACGTAGCGGATGTGGGCATCCTAGGCAACACTTTCAACGTCCTAATCCCGAAGCGACGGTTGCTTGCGTGATTCTTCGATCGAATTGAGCGCACAACAGGTTTGGTTCCCGCAATTGCCTGCACCAACATGGCGTCGCATCTTCTTTTTATGGATTCTCGGCAGGGGGTTGTAGTGTTGTCTGGTAAGGGTTTGCAGAGACAAGGGCGCAGCATTGCCCAGATTTATATTGTTGTCATAATATTTGCTGTGTCACCAAAAGCGAAACATTTTTTTCTAAAAAAAGTCCCTAAAAAAGTTGGCTTTAAAGACATTAAGGGTAAAGGGGGGGGGGGGGGGGCAGTCACCCCCCTCCCTCTCCCCATTTTTCCCTTAAATCTGCCGATGAGTCCTGGGTGGTTATTGCTGACCCACCACCACACGACAGCGCATAGAGCGATCCACTGCAGATTGAAACATCGGGAGGTTGATTCTTGCCGTTCCCAGATAGACAGCCATGCTGCACTCCCAAAATGCTCCCCCCCCCCCCCCCCTTTTTCTGCTGAAATGTGAGACACTCTTTCGAGACAGGCTGATTTGTGGCTGTATGTCCTGATCTCCGAGTCTGCCACACCGCCTGTTCCCAGGGCCCATTGGTTTGGTCTGCCTTCTGACTGCCCAGGCCATGGGAGCCAGCAAAGTGGTCATCACAGGTACGTCCAAGGACCAGCGTTGTTTTGTAAGCGGTGGTCGCAAACTTCATTTTGCTGGCTTACCAGCAAAGAGGAAGAAAGAGTGACACTTTAGTTCCGTCTTCTTTTATGTAGGCTTCCGCTTGCTTTTTTGTGTTATTATTTAATGCTATATCTTGCCTAACCTCTGTGCACTGTGCTGTACCGTTAGCGCAAACGAGCGATGACCGTTTTTTTCCTGGTTTTTTCTTTGAATCGAAAGGTCGTTGTTGAAGCTTCTAGTGTGGTGGTGAGTGCTTATTCGGGGCGCTAACTTAAGCGGTGCAATCTGGTGCCCATCAATACCCCTCCAAAGTAAAATACAATAGAAGCACCAATGTTCATGCTAGTGGTGTCGTATACGAGGAGCAAAACGAGTCATTTTACGGGAAATGGGACAATCTGACCTGTTGTGAAGTTACGCCCCAGTATACTGTAAAATCTAGAAGTGCTGTGCTACGCAAGTCTTCCTAAACACAAAGCAAAAGATAACGCGTGGTTGGCTGCAATCCCCAAACAACAGCTGCAGGGGCCTGTCTCCTACCCCCTGACCTGTTCTCATCGTTTTGTTGACAAGGACTAAAGAAAAAACCTCAATGTATCCAAATAGTTGGGAGTCAGATTGCGACCTCAGCTGAGGCGTGCCGCTGTTCGGACAAACTTTCTGGCATCACATCATATTGAAAGTAAAAAAAAAAAAAAAAAAAAAGCTAGGAGGCAGCCAGTGTTTTGTTATTAACTCTTCCAATCCTCGATTCTTATTTTTCGAAGTCGGCAGTGTAGTTTTTTTACAGTCGTCGTAAAAAGTGCATTTTATGAATCACAATACTTATTACGGACGTGCAACTTGCGACACCTGTTAATGTTTTCAAAAATGCCTTCACCAATTATGTTGCTAAGAAAAGAAGTGGGGAGGAGCTCTGATTGGGTGGAGGAGGACACAAACTTTAATAAACACTTCGAGCGCCAAAAATATCTTTTTTTTTTCGCAGTGATTTTTTATTATTTTTTGTGTGTGTGTGTGCGCAAAAACGCAACTGCTCGAAACTGTCACCGAAACTGGATTGGGGAGAAAGAAGAAATGTAGAGGTGGGGAGTGTTGGCCGGAAATCACGTAGCTACACCTGACCATGTTTTATTCTTTTTTTTTTCTTTTTTTTTGGCCTTGCGAGGCACATGAAAAATTCACATGTTGCACGAAAAATGCCGAAGTCAAGCAAAGCTTGACACGTTTTTCAAGCTCTTACCAACTCATGTTTGTCAGACGAGCAATGTCTTCAGCCAGGAGAAGGGACGGCGACTCGGCGACATCTTCGTGCGAATCAGCTTGATGGTCGGGTGTGTCGTAGGGAATAAATCGTAATTGTTTTGATCGGTCAACGATTTCTCTTTCGAAGCTAGACAGATGCACCGATACTACGAGCAACAGTTCTGAAGAAGAAATCCCACGCTCGTCTTCCGCCGCCATCGCTTAGTCCGCTTTGTTCAGCCGTCCAGCCCGCGACTCCCGCGATATGACGCCGTGTTGAGAATTGCGCAGAGTGCTTCCGATTCTTTCTTCAACTTTTTTTTTTTTTTTCGATCAACGTATTTGCAGCTTTTAGAAGCCGCAAGAGGTGGTATCATAATTTTTAAAATTTTAATATTGAGCGTTTCCCTTGGATGACTCACGACTTTGATTATATTTGGTGTGTGTGTCTAAACCATAGAGAACTGCACGTGACCACTGGGAAGAGAGTGAGCGCGACTCCAACCAATCAGCTCTCGATCGGAGGTTTTCGGGCGGAAAGAAAACGAATTTCGAGCAGCAAATTGTGTTCTGGGTAGTTGGGCTCTCTCGTATGTCATGTACAAATAAAAACCTTGGCGAGCGTCAGTGGCGTAGCCAGAAAATATTTTCGGGGGGAGGGGGGGGGGGGGGGGGGGGGTTGAGGTGGCTGGGATGTCCATGACTTGAGGTGTGGAGAGGGCGAAAAGGGGTCAAAATGATTGTGTATATTATAGGGTCGGCTGGATTTCGGGGGGGGGGGGGGGGGGGCTCGGCTCTATAAGCACCCCCCCCCCCCTGGCTACGCCCTTAGCGAGCATAAATAGTACCCTGTCAGTGTCCCTTGAAGGTGTCGTGTGCAAACGGACCTTAAGAAGGGATTTCTCCTTTCCGTGCCATTGATCGTGTTGACGCGAACCACGGTGTGCAGATATTGTGGACAACAGGCTGGAGAGGGCTGTCCAGCTAGGCGCCAGCAGTGCCATCAACGTGGCCGCCAAGTCAGTGGACGACATCAAGAGGGAGATAGTGAACGCTCTCGGCGACCTTCCGGACGTCTCCATTGAGTGCACCGGAGCCGAAGCCAGCATCCAGATCGGAATGTTGGTGAGTGCTGCGGCCGGCGCTGGGGAGGTACTTGAAGCAGTGCGTTTCAGTTTGTGTGTTCAGAGCACTTGCGTCTCCCACCAGGTGCCTGCGGGGATATGTACTTATGACTAAAGCTCCATGTTTTTAGGGTTTAATTTTTTTTAAAAATTGGGAGGCCTTTTTTGGTTGTGTTTTTTTTTCCACAAATTTGGTCGTTTTCGGTTTTTGGCGTGGGACAAAAATAGAATTGGTGTTTATTGACAGATTCGGTGGTTTTTGGTGTCAGTTTTTAGCGTGGGACAAGAATGATTGGGGCTTATGTTGAACAGAACAGGGCATGCATGTAGGAGTCCACGAGCACCAGGGAACATGCGCACTTGACCCAAGTACTTAAAAGTTGTCCCGGTTTTATTAAGACCTGTTCACAGACTTGCATCCATGTAGGACTGAGAGAGACAAGGCCGGTTTTTAAGCCTCTTGCGACGGCTGAAGACCAAATGCGCTGCTGCGGAGCAGGTCCTAAGTCTTTGCAAGAGGCTTAAAAACTGGCCTTATCTGAGCCAGTCCTACTTGGTTGCAGGTGTGTGAACGAGCCTTTAGAGGGCAGGAGTTGCCGAAGAAAGAAGCGGTCTCGCGGGCAGTTCAATGGGGGCTGTTTTGGGCCAACACAGATTAATGCTGCATATGAGGATTTTTTTTCTTGAGAGACAGTTCTAATTCGGGTTCTTTGGTTTCCCTCGATTTCGGTAAAACCCACTCTGGGGTTCATTTTCAGGTTTAATCGGTATGGACCGAAAACTTGGAGCCCTATACTGATGACCCTGTTTGGGAGCATTTTTTTTTTCCATTATTTTCCAATTTATTTTTTAAGCGATGCTTGATAGTCTGTGTCCAGGGGCATTTCTAACATTCATTTCTGGCTTCAAAGATGAAAAGTTTAAAAGGCGCAAACTGAAACGGGACGAAAAAAGACACACATAGGACAAGTACAAACTTCCAACTGATTTAATATAATGCCAAATATCGCCAAACTCTGGATCACCATCAGCATTAGACAACCCTAAGCAACAAGGTAAAGGTTGCTATCACTAATCACATGCAGCCATCAAGAAAAACAACCTCTTCGTTCAGCAGATACCGATATGGCTTGCTTACACATTTGTCAGCCACTTTTTTGGTACAGAAAGCTAAGATTGTTTCCTTTTCCATCTTCTCAATCCCTCTCTTAAGAAACCTTAGTTCACTCCCAAAGTCTTTTCAGTGCTCTGCAGGATGCCCACCCGAACTAAATCATTTGGAAGTTGGCGCTTGTCCTTGTCATACGTGTGTCTTTTTTTGTCCTGTTTCAGTTTGCGCCTTTTAATCGATAAGTACCAACTAGCCCCAACCAAAGTTTTATTTCATCTGTGGCAGCTGCTTTGTCGATCATTGTAATGTAAGGCTTTGCTTACCAAATGAAATCTGAGTTATTTTTCCTGTTGTCGGGCTAAATAATGCACTCAAGTTTTATTTTATTGTTTTCTGTTTTATTAGAGATACATCGAAAATAAATTGAAAACTTTAAGGAAAGATTGTGTCAGAAAAGTACCGTACCACTACCTAAAGCGAAGATATGGCTTTATACCAAAGCAGTGTAGTGAAGCTTTTTCCCGAAAAATAAATTCCCAGTTCCTTGCCACGACTTGCGAGTGAACTGCGGCGACATCGCAGACACTGGAGCCCCGCGGTTACTCTGCCGGATTTAAATTTAGCAGATGTATGAAATTTTATAATCAGAGGAACGGTGTCCTTGGACACTGTAACGTCACACCGTGACATCATGCGGCACCCTGACGTCACACGACACTAAATGCAACAGAGAAATCTTCCCGCCAAGCTTAGCGGGCCCATACGTAACATGCACATACAACACACGCGAGATTCGTTGTGAAACCTCGCCAATAACGGCCATCGCCTTAAAAATTGACTTTACCATAAGGGATTCTACCATACTTTTGTACTTCGACTGCTTTTTATGTCTACCTTGCGACGACTGCCGCAGCCTGGCACGTGTTTCTCTGAACTCAAGAGGCTGTAAAGGAAGTGCAGCCTGTTAAAGTGGTGAGGCAGGTGAGTTGGTCCACTCAAAAGAAGGACAAAGATGGGCAGCAGACAAGGCGAGCCAACCTCTGTCCTCGTTTATTGTGCACGGCGTTGCCCATTTGTTGGAGTCCCATCTCCAACCTCTCTTCCGCCCTCCCAGGGAACCAAGTCCGGCGGGACGTTGGTCCTTGTCGGCCTGGGGCCCAACGAGGTGAAGGTGCCACTTGTGGACGCCGCCGTCCGGGAAATCGACATCCGCGGGATCTTCCGATACGTCAACTGGTGAGTTTCGCCCTCCCCCAGTCGGTGCGGTCTGCGAAACCCACTTTGCCGCGGGCGTTTGTGCCGCTTCGGAAGACCTCCGTCGTTGTTCGCTCCTCTTTGGTGAGCTCTGGCCACATTTTGGCCGTCGCTCGGTCAAAGTAGAGCTGCATGTGGTGCCATACATAAGTTGCAATAAAACATTTCAACCTGGAATATGCGAGAATATGTAGGTGAGGCAAGACAAGAATGCGTGACAATCACAGATTTTTCGTCTTCCAGCAGCATGGAAAGATCAAAACAATGTTTTAACGCGCGCCAGAAGTGTCGACATTCAAGATGGCTGTGCCCTTGTGGTAAAGTTGTATAGCAACAGTGGAGCGAGCGGTGATGTGGGGATGCGCCAGCCACTGATTGAGGCGCAATCTGCGTCATGCAGCTACCCAACGGCCCTGGCCATGGTTGCGTCCGGCAAAGTGGACGTGAGGTCTCTGGTGACGCATCGCTTCAGGCTGGAGTCTGCCGCAGACGCCTTCAGGGTTGCCAAGACGGGAGAGGGAGGGGCCATCAAGGTCATGATTCAGTGCGACAACTGAGCACGGCCCGAGTGGCCGGTCGGCCGTTTGCCGATTTCGCCGGTTTGGCCGTTTCCTCGATTGCACTGTTCTGCTAGGGCCTCTGCTTTGTTTCGTACTAACCCGGAAGCCATTTCTTTTCTATGAAATGTCGTGCCTCTTGTAAGACTGTGATATGTCTGTGCCTTTTGTAAGACATGTCTGACAGCTTGGTGCACTAGCACCATTTTGTTACGATTGACAGAGCGGAGTGCTTTGTGCCTTAGGGGTGTAATGCGACTGAGGGGATAAAATAGCTTTTTTAAAGAAAAGCATAATTTCTCTTCTGACGACTTTTAGGCCTCTTTAGAAAAATTCTGAATCAAGCGATTGATTGCATTGTAACCATAATGAACTCGATGGAAGTATTTACCTAAGAAAGATTGAGTCCGTGGAAGCATTGCATCTATAATAAATAGACTTACCTGTAATAAATAGACTTACCTGCAATGGGTATTTTGGTGTCCGTAAGATTTTTCGTTTGTCTGTCTTTGTTCATTTGTTTGTTTTCAGGAGTGCATAAAACAGAATATAAAAAAAGTTATCAAAATTTAACAAAAAACTTGAAATATTTTTTCTTTTTTTTTGTGTGGGGCACTTGAATGTTTTGTCAAGATACCCTCTACTTATTTTTTTTCGTCAGAAAAAAAGGGAGAGATGAAACCTTTTTTTCTTCTACAGGGTTGTGTGAACAAAGTCGAACCGAAACAACAAGGAGCATGACGAAGTGTGGTCCCGAAAGATGTCGAGGCAGTCAGTGGTGTTCCCCTCCTATGCTCCACAAGAATGCGCTAAGGCATTTTGGTTAGAGGTGTGCAAAGAGGGAAATATACCCTTTCAGAAATTCTGTGCCATCTCGTGGTTCAAATATCATTGTAACTTTTTGCACACTAATGGCAGTAAGAACGGGAGTATTTCATTGGGCACCGTCAATTTTGTGCATCACTGGCAGACAGAAATGTGTTCCTTGCCATACATTTCTTTCTCAAATTCAAGCTTGTTGGTGACAAAGAAGCTACCAGTCTTACCGAAGCGCCGACCTGAGCAAAACCTTCGATAAAACTCGCCACATCAATGAGCTTATTTGTAGGTAGGGTGTGTGTCAAGTCCAAAATGAATGCATTTTTCTGCCGCATTGTGCTAACACCTAGAATGTGCAAGCTTTGTGCGTGATCTCTGGGACTGCCAGCACATACAGGCAATGTCTAAGGACATAGTTTGTGTTATCAGCTTCGGTGCGGGTCTTCATACGGCAATGACAAACCGGATATGCAGTTGGAGAATGCGTCCACCCATTCACAAATGAATACACACTGTGCTGGACAGATGAACCAGTGACCTTGAGTCATTCAGTTGCGGCACCTCGCGAGATGCCTTGGGGGGCGACGGGTTAAAGGGAGACTTCAACGAAATTTGAAATATTCCCGTCGTGTTCAAAAATAGGTTGAATATGATCCACAATATCCGTAAATGACAATCGCACGTTTGTATTTTGATCCTGGTGGCTGTATTTTTCGTTATAAACGGCCCACTCTGTCAAGCGCTCGGAGAAGGCCCAGCTTAGAGCACGTGACATCCAACGCAATCGTGACGTAGGTCGTCTCAAGACGAGCAAAGCTACGGCGAGGCTGACGTCGAGAGGATGGCCTAGTCGTTCCAGCCACCGAAACGGCTGCTTTTGTACGAATTTTGAGTGACGGGTTAATCTTCTATAATCTTCTAGGGGGACAATAGCGACTTCTGCGACACACAAAAGGGATTCTCGGGAAAAGGGGAGTTCCTCCTTCCCCCCTTCTCTCGTCGTGGCCGGAGACGAGACAACCTCCGTCACTAGCTGTCAAGGTTCCTAGACGACCATTACAAACGAGGCGCTAGCGACATCCACCAGGTGCTCTTTGCTAATCGTTTAATTCATTTTAAAATTCCTTTTCGAGACTTTTTTTAACAAGATATTGGTATGTTCCATGTGATACTGCTCTTTTGAACACATTTAGACCAAAAAATGAGCGCCGAAATTTTGTTGTAGTATCCCTTTAAAGGACGAAGCCGTTAAATTAGGAACTCTCCGTAGCTTGCGGGAGCTCATGCCGTTGCATTGAGTATGGATTGAGCACGCACCCGCGGGAGATCATTTACAAGAGCTTTTTGCATTTCTAGCAGGAGCCAGATCCAGAGCAAACCACGGTGAAGGAAGGGAGGTGTTGGAACAAGGCTAGAAAGGGAATCCGAATTTCAGTGGGGCTTGGATCGCCTCTCCTGGCAGGGGCACTGTCGGGTTGTGCTCCGTACGCAGGCACGCTCACGCTCCATGCGGTCTTTGAGTGGGCGTGGTAGTGCGTTTCGCGGCCTTAAAAACGTGCGAGCGGATAAGGACTGTTGCCCAATTTCCTGTCGTGATGCACCATCTCGCGGCATTTGCCAGAAATGGGAGCCAACCTTCGACACATCCTGCTCCGTGACAAAGCGGTCAAATTCAGACACCTCTCTATTCCTCCCAGCGCACTCTAAACTGTACTGCAAGTACGAATGAAATGCGAACAGTGGAGAGCGTCGGTCTTTGTTGCTTGCTGCACCACTTGGAGACGACGAGGAACTGACAAAACTATGGGGTGGAAAGGGGGCTGCGAAGGTGCACGCCTACTCAGATGTGCACACCCTTGCAACCCACCTCTCTGTACACCGGTTTTATTGTTTCTTGGTTGCCTCTATGGTAAGTGACCGGTTAGGAGTTATGGAGAGCTCCTCTTCTTGGTTGCCTCTATGGTAAGTGACAGGTTAGGAGTTATGGAGAGCTCCTCCCACCTCTTTGCACTTTAGCAGAACGAACGCTGAAAGAAGGGAGCTCCCCTTTAGCATTCGCTCTGCTAAAATGGAAGGAGGGAGAAACTTTGTCTGAACTCTTCACCTGTCGCCGACTATACAAGTTTGCAAGTACAGCCTCAGGGCGCCGCCATCTTGCTCATAAAACCATTTTTCTACTTTCGCTGAATATTACTTAGAACCGCTCCCTAAAGTTAATAACTGAATAATCTTGCCTTGGTTTTTATTTCTAGGCAATGGCAGTCGCCAGCAAAATTCGAAAAATATGAGATTGTTTTTTCATCCCCTCAACTCGGAGTCAGAACAAGTGGCCACGTGGCCTGGTGCCTATATATCCTTTGCCGCCAACTTGAATCATAGCCACGGACTGGGGCTGGCAAAGTAGAAAACTTGTGCTGAGCTCGAGACATTGTTAGAGTTCGACAGTTATCATCACCGTAGTGGTTGGACACGACCCACTACCCGAGTGTCCGCCGAGGCATTGATTATTACGAGCCGAAGTCGAGTGCCCACGCATTCTCGCGTCCAATCCATGAGCCGCGCTCGACCCGTTAGGCGGGCGATTTCGATCCCACAATTACGTCATCAAGCTTCCCCTTTAATCCTCGCAATTTCACCGCGTCAAAGAGGCTTCTGAATCAGTGGCGGTCTGACCAGTGCGTCCTTGCAAAGTTATGAACATTCCAACCCAGTATCGTTTCATGACCCCTTTAAAAAGCCCCTAAATTTTTCTTTTTCTTTTTTTTTTTTTTTTTAGGTTTGGTTGGGACACGCGTGTCAAAAAATAAAATAAATTACGCAAAAAAAATTTAGAGGGCGAGAGATTTATTTGAAAATCTGCGCGCGATTTCCATGACGTCACGGGTCATTTTGGAATGACCATCTCATCTCTGTCGTGAAGGCGAAGCCGATCCACCTTCACGCGCCCGAAATGCTGAGAGAGAAAACGAGTGGATAGGGACATAGGAGGTGACTATCGACTAAATCGCGTCTTTTTCCAAATTACTTTTGTGACACGCGTGTCCAAACCAAACTGCTTAAAATAATTTTTTTTTTCTGGTTAGGACAGACATTTATTTTTTTTTATTTACATTGTACCTACATCGCCCTGTGGGCATTATTGTAGGGGGGGTTTTAGAAAACATTATAACAAGTGGAAAAAGAAAATGTCATTATCATCAATGGACACAACATCTTCCGGGAGATCGTTCCACTCTCTCGCGGTTTTGACAAAAAATGAATTCGCAAAACTGTCAGTCCTGTAAGTGGGAACAGCAACTTTTTTAGAATTATCACAACGGCTAGAAACGTAGGATGGCTCCATAAGATAAGTGGCTTTATCAATTCCTGTTTTGTTGTGAAAGACACGGTGGAAAAATTTTAGTCTTAGTTTTTTTCGTCTACATTCGAGTGTTTCCCATCCCAGCATGGCTTTCATATCTGTAACACTAGCATAAGGGTCATAGTTGTTCAGTACAAAACGCGCGGCCTGATTTTGAATTTTTTCTAGTTTATTGATAAGGAAGTCGTGATAAGGGTCCCACACAACGCACGCGTAATCAAGGATCGGTCTTACCAAAGAAAAATAAAGTGTTTCTTTAACGTTTCGCGACGCGGATCTAAAATTTCGACGGATAAAATAGAACATTTTACTAGCCTTTCCGATTGTACGTTCTATATGGCTGTTCCATTTTAGGGAATCCGAAAATAGCACTCCTAGGTAAACATACTCAAACACAGTACATAAAACAGTCCCGTTGATTAGGTAGCTATAAGAATCGTGCAGCTTACTTCTCGAGAAACGAATATGTTTGCATTTACTTAAATTTAGGCTCATTTTCCATTGATTGCACCAAGAAGATAAAATATTTATGTCGGTTTGTAATATGGCCAGGTCGTCTGACGTGTTTATTTCCCTGTACAATACGCAGTCATCGGCGAACAGTTTAATATGAGACTGTATGTTTTCGGTGATATCATTTATGTATATGAGAAAAAGTAAAGGCCCTAAGACACTCCCTTGTAGCACTCCCGACGTAACCCGAGTTGATGTGGATATAGTACCGTTTAAAACAACCCGCTGCTCACGACCTTCTAAATAATTTTGTATCCAATTCAGGACGTTGGGATCTATGTTTAGCAAAGCCAATTTATACAATAATAACTGATGGAGGACCGTGTCAAATGCCTTTCGAAAGTCTAAGAACACGCAGTCGACATATTTCCTGCTGTCTAGTGATCTGGATATATGATGATAAAATTCTACCAGCTGTGTGTTGCAAGAGTAGCCGCTTCGAAAACCATGCTGTGAGGGGGAAGTGTAATGAATCCAGGAACGATGTAAATAATGTGTTCAAACAACTTACATGAGATCGATGTCAATGAAATAGGGCGATAATTTTCAACACTGGCTTTAAAACCCGATTTAAAAACTGGTGTAACGTTTGCCATCTTCCAATCCATTGGAACCATCCCCGTCTTTAACGTTTCACTGAATATAACAAAAAGATAACGCGCTATGGATTCACTGCACTTAAGAAAAATAACAGGGGAAATGCCATCAGGTCCGACAACCTTGGTTGCATCAATTCCGCGCAGCAACTTCACTATACCATTCATGTCAATTGTAATGCTGGGCATTACGCTTTGCTGCGTTCGGCAAGCCACTGGAGATAGCAGATGCGGAGAGTCTTCCGAAAATACCGACTTAAAATACGAGTTAAAGCATTCAACCTTCGCGTTATCAGACACCACAGTACTACCATCAACTTTCAACGCAGGAATAGAAGTGTCTTCCTTTCTGTTCGCGTTGACGAACTTCCAGAATTCTTTAGGGTTTCTTTTCAGATTTTCGTTAAACTTGTCAAAGAACACTTTTTTGCTTAATTTTATTTGCAATTTGAGAAGCCTGTTAATCTCTTTGTACTTCTGCTCAGTTTGGACTGACCAACTTTTGGTCAGCGTTTTGTAAGCACGTCTCGCTTTACCTATAAGTCTGCGAATTTCTACATTAAACCAAGGCTTATTTTTTTTACGCTTCCTCATTTGTTTCGATGGAATATACACCTCCGCAAGCTCTAATATTTTATTTCTAAAAGCATGCCATATAGTTTCGACGTCACTATTTTCGGACAGACGACTAAATGTATAAAAATAGGATTCAAGCTCTGCATCGATCGCTTCGTAATTACCTTTGTCGTACAAAAATACTTTCCGTGGACACTCCGCTTGCTTTCGCGTTCCGGGCTCCGAGAGCTTAGCAACAACCGCGCAGTGATCACTTATGCCGGGAAGTACAGTGACCTCGGATACAACGCCAGGAAAATTGCATAAAATTAAATCCAAGACAGAATTCCCTCGCGTCGGTTTTTTAACATATTGTTCAAATCCAAATACACTGATTATGTCAGCAAACATCGAGTAAGCGCGGGGTCCATCTGTAGCAAGAACTTCATCAGACCAGTTGAACCCTGGTAGATTAAAGTCTCCTCCCAAGAATACACTATCTGGAATTGTCGTCAACAAGTCACCCAATTTGTCTATCGAGTACGCATCACTATCTGGGGGGCGATAAAATGTACCAAAAACTAAAGTGGTCCCCTTAGGTAAAACTACTCGACACCATACAGACTCAGTGTCGTTTTCAGAAAAAACTAGTTCACTACTACTCCGGTCTGATGAAATTAGCAAACACACACCACCTCCGTGTCCATTTCTATCTTTGCGGTATACGGAAAAACCAGGGGGAAAAACTTCGCAATTAGAAACCGAGTCATGCAGCCATGTCTCTGTTCCCATAATAACTTTGGGTCTGATTGTCTCGACCAGAGATAAGAAATCGTCCACTTTATTTTTTATGCTACGGAAGTTCACAAGTAATACCGAGACATCTACATCTGATAAAGCGGCATTTTGACAGATATCTCTCGCACTGCGTCAATCCTGCTGAATCGGTGGAGACTTTTTACGAACGAGTATAGGCATGCTTTGTTCGAAATCCCAGGCGTACGTGTCTCCGTTGATAACGAGCTTGTCGTAGGTAAGATATACTTTGTTGTTCTTATCTTGTCGTTTTTCTTTGGAATAGTCCCATAGCTTGCGCCTTTTTTCTCTGACAAGTGCACTGAAATCCTCGGAAACGCTGTAAGCAGAGTTTTTGAATTTAAAGGCGTTGCGCATGATGTTGTCACGTTCTTTCCAATTTTGAAAGCTTGCTATAATCGGCCGACAGCTACGTTCCTTGAAAGTACCTAAACGGTGGGCCCTTTGTATTGAGGTGACATCGATATCTAGATTACCTTTACAGATGCGTCTAACAAGAGTTTCTGACTCCTCCCATGACTCTCGCACTGTGTCATCAGGTATGCCAAAAAAACACCAAGTTTGTCCTGCGGCTCCGATTTTCAAGGTCGTCTAGTCTTGCTTCCAGCTTTCTTCTATTTACTTCAACATCTGAGATCCGTTGTTCAAATTGCTCGTTTTTTGCAATTAAATTCTCTATTTTATTGTGAATCTCCGTTTGTTTGCTTTCAATAACATTTAACTTCGCGAGGACACTTCTTTGACCGTTTTGCAGTTCAGTGAACATAGATTGTATGAGTTCCATTTGTTCCTTAGTTGCAGGACCAGGATTAGTTTCTACGTCGCCACATGTTTCAAAATAATGTTCGGCAGGAGAAAAAAATGTTTTGCGGCCGAAACCGAAACTGCTTTTGTGGGATGATGATGATAGCAATTCGCCGGACCTCAGTGCGCACACGTTATCATCATCATTACACAGAAGTACAGTTTCGGTTTCGCCCGCAAATAAAAAAAATTCGTATTGTAACATAAATTTTAGAGAATTTTAGTAGATCGTGTTTTCAGGCCACGCTATCTGTAGCGGGAGCTTGCGCCGCCACTTCGATGCATGCTTTGCGGCGCGCGCCCGTACCGGTAGCAGGCCTTTGAATACGATCTACTAAAACTCCCTATTAAGCGAAAAAAAATTTTTTTTTTTCTTTCGCCGAACATTATTTTTGAGACATGCCTGTCCTAACCAAGTAGACTATTTATTTTTCCCCTGATTATGGCCGCGCCTTCGGAGGCCATGCACTCCGCTGTTCGCATTTTATTTGTACCCGATAGTACAACACACACTAAAAAGAAAGGGGATTACCAACGACAGGGAAATGCTTATGGGCGTCAAAACGATAGCCTTGGACGAAACTGGAACGGAACAGCATGACGAAAATAATCCCTGGGGAAGGGGAACGGGACAAAGGACGAACACAAATCTCCAAACACAACAATAGGCGTGCGTGCGTGCGTGCGTTAGTGTGTGTGTAAGGGGGGGGGGGGGGGTTGTTTTAAAAGGGTTTTCAAAATGACTCGAAGCAAGCACACCACTAGCTTGCTGTTTTCAAATTCTAAAGTCATGAGCGACTTTCAGAAATTTGAAATGGTAAAATGACGGCCAGCGTTAGCCACGAATGCATGCCTGGCGGCTGGTCCGCTCCTAATTCAGAAGGGGGTTAATGGGCCCCCTTCTGCGTTAGGAGTGGTGACGTCAAGCCATAAAGTATTGTATCAATCCCCTTTGGTGCGTTTTTTTTTTTTTTTTTTCGTTCCTTTTTTTTTTTAACTTTGAAGCACGAGAAAACGTTTTGCAGCCTTTTGATTTTACTTCGATATCCTGCGCTGTTATTCGCCTCAGCGCGCTTACCTTGCAAGGTAAAGAGGGAGCATATACAGCTTTAGAGAATTGTGATTGTATCCATAAAAATGACAGAGAGTCGTAAAATCGCAAAATTTTGGGATACAACAAGTCACGGCTATTACGTGATTCCGTGAAAAGAAAAAAATATTTCCTTCGTGAATTCTCAAAAAAAAAAAAAAAGAAGAAACACACCAGGAGATGTTTCTGGAGAAGGAAGAAGATTAGACTACGCGCGGCAGAGCAGCTGCGCGATTTTCCAAAAGAGGAGCGCTAACGCAGCCGAACTTTACGAACGCATATTTCGCTTCTATCGTCGGATGATACGTCAACAGATGCCAAAGATTTCGTAGCCAGGACACTCCTCCCATCGCTGAGGTTTCTTTCACTGGGTGCTGGCATGGCGCTCTGCAAGACCGAGTGATACAACAGCCTTCGCCATTACGACACGTCAAACGTAAGAAGTCCACTGCTCTAGATAGCATCCCATCTTCAGCCCGATGTCCTTCGGGGGCTTTTGTCGCACTCCATTCTGGGACCTAAACGTAACATGGAACACGGACAACCCCCTTCTCACGCCGTGCTTCGAGGACACCATCCTTACATGGACCCCATTCCTGGTTCTGGCGCTGTCTCTGCCCTTCAAGATGGCCTCATCTTTAGGCCCAATGGTCGTGCCTTATCCGTATACGCTGTTGACCTACGCGAAGTATACCATGACAGCTTACCTGTGCATTATTCACGCCTCGTCTACCTACGTGAGTGCGACGGAAGACACTCCTGCGTCCGAGTTCACTGCGTCCATTGTCGACATGATGGGCTGCTGCGTAGCGATCCTGTACCAAGTGGTCGACCAGAGACGAGCTCGAAGAACTTCCGACCTCTTGTTCACGTACTGGGCACTGCGAATGCTAGGGCGCTTGCCCACCTACTACAGGATGCTCCGAAGCACCTTCAGTACGCTCAGCGACTTGGTTCCGTCTGCCCACAACTACACAGTCGTCATGATCGTGTTTCCGGTCACCTGCTGCCTCGTGGTGCTCTACTCTTTCACGGAACGGCACGGCAATGACATCACCACAACTTGCCCTATGGACGTTGCCTCTGTCCCTTCTACCATCAGCTTCGAGTGGTTCACACCACTCATGGTCACTGGTTTCCGCGACACGCTCAAAGTCGCAGACCTCTTTGAAGTGTCCAAGGAGTTGAAGACCGTCCACAACTACGCCAAGTGGATGCAAGCCAACGACGACACGATCAAAGGCTACCGTCTCGTCAGGTCGCTCGCCCGCACGTTCTGGCCCTCGGTGCTCAAAGCTTCGTTGATACACGCAGTCTTTGCTCTCTTCAGAACGTTGCCCTCTGTCCTGTTAACCTTGGTCATCAGATACGTCTCTTCGGACCAGGAGACGTGGAAAGGCTATTTGTACGGGGTCGCAATCTTTTTGGCGAGCAAGATCGGCATGACCCTTCTTCGTCATTGCACCTTTCACTACGTTTTGCTCGGCTTGCAAATCAGAGGCCTCCTGGTGAGCGCGGTCTACCAAAAGACACTCCGCATTGCAAGCGCTTCGCTGAGGAGGTACACCGTAGGGGAGATCTCTAACCTGGTGACAGTAGATGCGGACAAAGTTTACCAGTCTTCCCTCCTCGTTGGCCAGGGATTTACAGCCTTCTATTTGATCGTGGTGGTGACCATGTGGCTCTGGTTCTTTGTGGGCCTTCCCGCTTTTTCCGTGCTCGTTGTCGTCATTTTGGTATTACCTATAACGTATATACTCAGCCGGGTTGGCAGCGGACTAATGCAGGAAGTAATGGTGTTGAAGGACAGCAGACTGATGCGCGCTGCTGAGGCTCTCGCCAACATCCGGACACTCAAGTTTTACGCCTGGGAGATCCCTTTCATGGAACGCATCCTCAGCATCCGTGAAGAGGAAGTGGCAACACTCAAGCGCTTTGCCACTTCGTCGGCGTTCATGAAACTGTTCTGGTTCAGTCTCCCATTTATGCAGTCGCTTTCCGTTTTCACCGTCTACATGCTAACGAAGGGACTGACCACGCTGGACGTCGAGACCGGCTTTCTGACTATCACCTTGTGCAGCATGCTTCGGAATCCGTTATCCGCCTTTCCCGATCTCGTCGCAAATTTGATCCAGACACGCATCGCTTTTATCCGGATCGCGGAGTTTTTGGACGCCGACGAGAAGGACCCCGGCCTTATCGGGGAAGACGCCGGATCTGGAAACGCGATTCGAATCGAGAACGCGTCTTTTGCGTGGTCCCGAGTCTCGGAGGAACCACCCCTTCTGAAGAGCATCAACTTGACCGTTAAAAAGGGGCAGTTGGTCGGTGTTTTCGGCCTGGTTGGCAGCGGAAAATCATCCCTGCTCACTGGAATGCTGGGGGAGATGCACCTAATCGAAGGTACCATTGACATCGCCGGATCGGTCGCCTACGTACCTCAGAGGGCATGGATCATCCAAGGGACTATTCGCAAGAACATCACCTTTATGAACGACCTTGACAAGCACCTCTATAAGAAGGTTATTGACAGGTGTTGCCTGAGGAGCGACTTTGACATGCTCATGGATGGTGACAAGACGGAGATAGGAGAAAAGGGCGTAAACCTGAGCGGCGGCCAACGGCAGAGAATAGGCTTAGCTAGGGCGGTTTACCTTAACAAGGACGTGTACCTGCTGGACGATCCACTAAGCGCTGTTGATGCGCTCGTCGGCTCTCTCATCTTTAACAAGGTGATTGGTCCGCATGGCATCTTGCGAAAGAAGACCAGGATCCTCGTCACTAATGACTTGTTTCTTCTTAGGAGTGCCGACGTCGTCGTATTTATGCAAGACGGGGCTATCACAGATTGTGGCACCTTTCACGAACTTGTAGCCAAGGATGGCACTTTCGCGAAAGTCGTGTCCGAGTACTCTGAACATCCAGTAGAAAGAAAACGTAGCAATCAGATGTTGCATGTGCTCAGCGTTATGAGCGAAACGTTTGAGACAAGCATCACCATGTCCGCTGCCACACGACCCAACGCTCTGATTTGCGCGGAAACGGTCGAGGTCGGCTCCACCAAGAGAGAAGTCTATATTAATTACCTCAAACACATCGGCGGCCTCATCTGTCTCACCTCATTCGCCAGTTACGTAGGCTGCCGCGTGTTTGACATCGGTGGTGGTCTCTGGATCAAAGGCTGGAGTACGGACGCTTACCTTCCCGCGGCGCAGCAGACGGTATCCAGAAGAACCATTCGCATCGTGGTGTTCGCAGTCATCGGGTTGTTAACCGGGCTCTTTGCATTTTTAGCCACCTCCGCCCTGAGCGTCGGAGCGGTCAAGGCTGCCAGAAACTTGCACGAAAACATGATCAGATGCATCTTCGAAGCCCCCATGAGCTTCTTCGACGGTACTCCACTGGGAAGAATCCTGAACAGAATAGGCAAAGACGTGGACCAGCTTGACGTCCAGTTGCCTCTTACGGCGAACATATTTCTCGAAATGGTCTTCCAGTTACTTGCCATGTGCATGCTCATCAGCATTGTCCTCCCGCAGTTTCTCCTCATCGCCGCACCGCTGTCGTTGCTCTACGTCCCTATTCGGAGCCTCTACTCGCGAACTCTGCGGCAGCTGAAGCGCCTGGAGTCTGTCACCAGATCACCCATGATCAACACACTCGCAGAAACACTAGACGGCCTCAACACAATCAGAAATTACGGTGCTGAAAACGTTTTCTTCGACAGGTTCGTAGAGGAAATCGATTCAGCGCAGAACTGCACATTTTGTCTCGTGGTCTCTAAGCACTGGATGATCAGCCGTTTAGACCTTATCGGGTGCTCCATGGTGCTCGCCACCTCTTTCCTCATCGTCTACTGGAAGGACAGCATGTCTCCTGGTACAGCCGGGTTACTGCTTTCCTACGTCTTCACATCGACGTTCGCCTTCAACAACTTGGTCCATTTCGCAGCCGGCGTGGAGACCGCCATAGTTTCGTCCGAGCGTGTCGAAGAGTACTCCAAGGTCGAGAGCGAAGCCCCACGGCACGTGAAACCCAGCCCACCAGAGGGCTGGCCGCAGAATGGAGTCATCACGTTCGTCAACTTCAGCGCCCGGTACAGAGAAGGGATGCGGCCTTGCATACGGGACGTCAACATAGAGTTCTTGGCGTCCGAGAAAGTTGCCATCGTTGGGCGGACAGGCGCCGGAAAGTCGACGCTGACCTTAGCCCTCTTCAGGATCATCGAAGCGACAAAAGGCTCTATTCTCATTGACGGCGTCGACATTTCCGAAGTTGGACTGCATGATCTACGGTCCAGGTTGACCATCATCCCTCAAGACCCGGTTCTCTTCAGTGGTACCTTGCGGATGAACCTGGATCCCGAAGACCAGTACGATGACACTGATCTGTGGCAGGTCTTAGAACAAGTCAACCTGAAGGGTCGCTTCGCAGAGGGCCTGAAGACCGTTATTTCTGAATGCGGCACGAACATAAGCGTGGGTCAGAGACAGCTCGTATGTCTCGCCAGGGCAGTACTCAAATCAACCAAGATCCTCATTCTGGATGAAGCCACAGCGGCCATGGACGTCGAGACCGATGCTCTCATACGAAGGACCATCAAGACGGTGTTTAGGGACAGCACAGTGCTGACGATTGCTCACCGTCTCAACACCATTTTGGACTCTGATAGGATTGTGGTGATGGCTGACGGGGAAGTAATTGAAGTGGGCTCGCCAGAGAATCTTTTAGCTAATCCCGATTCTGAGTTTCACGCCATGGCTCAAGAGGCTGGTATTGTGTGAATGTTACCCTATATTTTTTATTTAGAGGTCTACATCGTTTTCTTTTTAGTTTTTGTATTATATTTCTAAGTCTTTGTATGAAGCGAAGAAATGAACGACACCAATATGGTCTGATATATCTCTAAGAGGTTGGGCAACAAACGAGTCAATAAATACCTTGTGGCCCCATTAATTGTTGGTACATATGCCCTTTGACCAGTGATGGAAGCGCTGGGCCATTTGCGCCAAAATGAGGCATGAACAAACATCTGCTAAATCTTGAGCCAAATTTACGTCATTTCTGCTGAGAATTACGCCACACCTGCACCTAAGTGGGAAAGGGTTTATTATTGGTAGATTCTAATATTCGGAGTAGAAGGAAAAGAACAGGGTACAGATATTTACTCCACATGCAGTCCCTTTTCACTATATCCCAGAAGGAATGTAGGGGAAGCGTGCTCTTGTTTATCCATGGCTCTCTATGAAACGCTTGATGATTCCCTGTCCACAATGTGGGTATTAGCGCCGAGATACTTCGGTGGCGCCCCCTAATGGTTTCCATCCGTGACGTCACGACTGGGATTTGCCTCGCCGTGACGTCACCAGTTGTTACCCTGGCTACTTACCACCAGGTGCGACGACGAGTTCGATGGTGTGTTTAAAAAGCACCGTGGAAGCTAGGAATCATCGCAACCGGAACTAACACCGTCAAAGTTGACAATCTGACAATGCTCATATGCCCATGGTCTGGCCAATCGTGGAAAGCTGACCGCTTGCGGAGGGCAAGTTCGTCTGCTTCTTGCGCTTGCGGTAGCGGTGACGTCAGAACGCCGAGCCCCGATTGGCTGATCGCGGCCCCCCTATCTGAGCGTCGTCTGCTCCTTTACCACGTCGTCTGCTCGCAACGTCGTCTGCGTCTGTCTTACCTTTCCTGCGAGTTTTGAAAGTGCAGGCGACGATCTTACGCCAAAAATGTGCGTAAGACATAACTTACGAACAAATCCGTATTCACGGAACGAAATTTTCGTAAGTTTTGCGCAAGTTACGACGAAATCCTACGACAGCTCCGAAGCTGGCTTACGCACTTCTTACGATCAAATGAGCATGGCCGACAGCGTCGCAGTCGCGACGACCAACGGACGTTTATTTTTCTACGTGCGCTTCTTACGCGTCCCGACTTCAAGCAGCAAGAAAAAAGTAAAAAGTACTTGAAACAGACCACGACGAACAAGAACGCTGGATCCACAAACACCCGGGAAAAGCTCCAACAGCCACGATTCCACCGAACGCGACCAAGCGAGCACGGCAGTTAGGCCTAGCAGGCACTCCGCGACTCGGCGACCCTCTGCCCACGACCGGCTGGTGTGCTGAATGGAATATGCCCGCGCGACCCTTGTGAACCCTTCCCGTATTATACTTTGATCGCTGACCTCAGTTTTAGATGAAGAGGTCAATTTCTTCCTCTTGTTATCTCCTTGTTTCCCGAGGCAACGGTGAATCTCGCCGGTGAAAAAGCGGTGAATCTCCCGCAGACGCGGGAAAGGTAAAGCAGCCATCGTTTTGACTAGCAGACGTAAAGCAGACGACGTTAACTGCGCCAACCCGCCGACGCCGTTAAAGAATGAGAGGTCTCGCCGCACACGAAAGGAGCGAAAAAGTATTTGGAAGGGAACTTGCGGACACTAACACGCTCACCTCTCGGTTCTTAGCAAACAAACCTCGACGCTTCGGGACACCTCGCCAGTGAGTCATTTGACTTCCCTCCTTGATGCGCGTCTGCTAGTTGTTAGACAAAAACAACGTACCGAAGTCGAGCTCGCTCGTAAAGACCTGCACTTCCGAAAGTCGCAGAAAAGGTACGACAGACGCAGACGAGGTTGCGAGCAGACGACGTTGCAAAAAAGCAGACGACGCTGAGATAGGGGGTCGCGATCAGCCAATCAGGGCTCGGCGTTCTGACGTCACCGCTACTTCCTTTCTCATGCGCAGATAATACTCTTCAGGTGAGGACAGCGCGCTCCTCGCGCAGTTCAGATAAAGTTCGCTTTTTCTCTCTCTCAGTATGGTTTCAAGCGGCGCCGGCAGATGACTCGTCGACCCGTGGGCACGGCAAAGACAGCTCGTGCCGCCTCATGCTCCACACGCGCAGAGCTCCAGCGAGGTTGTCCCTCGTGCAGAAAGACCACGGTGTACCGGGGTGTCATGGCAACGAGATAATTTTTTTTCGCTCTCGCACAGTTTCGACGTTTGGCCGCCGGCGACACTGCAGAATAATGCAGCCTTTCGGATGCCCGTCGAACGAACACTATCTGATTCCTCGCGCCCGCGTTTAGCCCCGCTGTGTCCTCACCTAAAGGGTGTATCTTACACCGTGGTATACACAAAGCATCTACACTCTACACTAACGGCACAGCACGGGCAATTGTATGTGCAGAGCACAAGCCCTTCGCTGTTGATTCCAGTGCGCGAGCACTGCATTGGCGCCTCCCATGGCTTCGACCTCGCGTCCGTAGCATTTGTTTTACTTCAAGTAATAGGAACTATTCACTGGACGCCATATTTGTGGGTGCTGTTTAGAGCGCATGCTCCGATCGAGCTCACATTAATAGCCTGCTAAGACCGGCAACCTTGATGGTGCTAAATGCACGCTCCAAAAGGACTGCCGAAGCTCGCCGTAAGCACGCGCTCAGCAGCAGCGCACACGGATATGGCCGCCAGTGAATACTCCCTATAACCTTGTCACACGGGCGCACTTAACTGCACTAACGCTAGCCACAGTTACCATACAATATTTACGGACATCATTCTGCGGCTATGCGGTCGAATTGATTGGCGCACGTGCCCTTGAGTATCTTGAGCACACATCAAAGCAGTGCACGCGCACTCTTGAATTCTGAAATAGCTATTCGAGAGCATAGTGCGGTAACTGTGGTGACGCGTAACAGCTGTTAATGGGCGTCGGCAGAGGGGTGCAAAAAGGGGCACTTGCCCCCCCTCCCCCTCCACTGTCCCTTCCGCAGCTCTCTCGGGTACGGGTTATCGAATGACGTCGCGCCATAGCTTTTCTAGCAAGCGGAGAAACCGAAAGCAATCCTAAAAATAATATACAGGCACTTGGGTTTCCTTTGGATCCTTCAGCAATAAACACAAAAAAGAATAAGGTCTCCCCTCGGTCAGTTGGAATCAGCCACACCCAGCTGGCCAAAAAAAAAAACAAAAAAAAACAGGAAGGGGCACCCACTTTCGAGAACACCGCAGTCCTGTGTTGTTATGAATCACAGGCAATCGGATGAAAGTCAGTAAAATGCCCCCAAAACAGAGCGTCTTCTACACAGAGCGGGATTTTTTAAAAAAAAACAAAAAAAAAAAAAAACAGAACAGATTGGCGTGGCTACGAGTTGGATATAGTCCGCGCTCCCCTTTGCTCTGTGCACCTCGTAAAACCGACTGCAGCGAGCGGGCCCCGGGGGGAAGGGGGTAGCTTTGGCATTTTAGAAAGGGGGAGGGGGGTTCGACCCCCAAAACCACCCCCCTGTCTACGCCTGTGCTCTGTTTTGTATATGTGCTTTTGGGTTTTTCTTCTTCCTTGCCCGTAGCATGTGCGGTCATGGGAAAGGAGAAGAGGGGGGTCAAAATCGGGGTCAGGCCTCTTTTGGACAATGCAGCTCTGCGAAACTCTGTTCGCACCATGTCAACAACGATACTGCCCCGGGCCCATAACTCACGCGGGAGAGGCGTGTTGGACCGTCGTCGTTAATTGACACCACCGTGATCGCACGCCTGGCACTGTCGAATATCTGTGACAGGGTGGCACACTTTTCTGTTGCTGGCTCTCTCTTCCTGGCCCAGTTGCTTGAAACGGCCACATTCCGCACCCAATTCCACTTTTTTATATAACCGTGGGTTGATATGGGTCAGGAGTGAAAATGGACATCAGAAGCTTTTCTTTAAACGGAAAGCTGACAGTGATAATGGCAATCCATCTTGTGCAACGAAGAAGCACGTGACCTCAGAGCCGTGTCATGACCTGCAATCTATCGATGTACAGTCGGCACGGAATGAAATGCGAACAGTGGGTGCATGGTTTTCGCTAGATGCTGCACCACCTGAACCAGATGGGAGCTGCAGGAAGATGGCTCCTCCTTCGATGTGTTAGACTCTTGCTCAGTGCATCCAAACCTTCGGTGCTGCGTCTCTCGGTGACTCAGCGTGGGTCGAAAACCATGTGCTCCATGTTCGCGTTTCATTCCGTGCCGACTGTACCTGCTGTCTCCGTCACTCCTAAGCATCAACCGACTTTAAAGAGCCAGCTGGACACTGGCTTTGCCCTCAACTCGACTCTCAAAGGTATGTCAAACTCCTCTTTAACTGTAAGAGTATTCATGCAAAGCTGAGCTTGATCAGATATATTACCAACATAAAGATAAGAACCAGCGGGCTAAAATTTTACTCTAGTTCTGAAATGAGACAGAGTGTGCATATGGCAAGCTAAGGGAACCCGCGTCGAGGAAACACGGAAAGTTACAATGGCAACTAATTCTCCGGCGGTAGCCCCGCCGTGCTAGCTTTCCAACACAGCTAACGCAGCTTTCAGATGTCTTCCACGGACCACAACCCGGGAAATGCTTCGAATTCCTATTACGAGCGAAGACAATTTTGTGCACAAAATTAGAGTTGTCAATTCGAGCATAGGCCAACTTACGATAGCTTTTAAAAATTAGTATAAACGTCAAATATTGTTAAATTTTGGAATAAAAGAGTAATGTTCATTGCTGCGACAAATTATGTGTTCGCGTGACTTACGTGCACTGTCTTGCTATTGTATTGTGTGCGGTACACATATATGATGCCAATAGCTGTCTATAAAGTCTTTGTGCTTTTCTATCTCAGATAAATATAAACTAAGTGGACTGTTTTGTTGTTTTGCCGCGCCATATAGACTAAATTCCTTAGTTTTATCTTGCATTAAAATTAAAGGATTAATTATGAAAAAAAAAAAGTTATTTTTCTTACGTTGAAAT